AACAAATTATCCCGGCAAAGCAACCTAACAGCGATGTGTAGAAGCATATCTGAAAGCATTCCCCTTAAGATTCAGATGAAAATCCAGTTGTAGAATTCTGCTGTTCTCGCAGTCGTAGTCGCATTCGCGATGACAGTCGCAGCGGCAACGGCAGTCGCAGTCACAGCCTCAGCCTCAGCCTGCCTCAGCCTCAGCCTCAGCCTGCCTCAGCCTCAGCCTGCCTCAGCCTCAGCCTCAGCCTGCTTCAGCCTCAGCCTCAGTCTGCCTTCAGCCTCGGCCTCAGCCTCAGCCTGCCTCAGCCTCAGCCTGCATCAGCCTCAGCCTCAGCCTCAGCCTGCCTCAGCATCAGCCTGCTCAGCCTCAGCCTCAGCCTCAGCCTCAGCCTCAGCCTCAGCCTCAGTCTGCTTCAGCCTCAGCCTCAGTCTGCCTTCAGCCTCGGCCTCAGCCTCAGCCTGCCTCAGCCTCAGCCTGCCTCGCCGCAGCATCAGCCTGCCTCAGCATTCAAAATGTGGCCCAGGAATGGAGTTCTGGGAACTAGAAGAACACGAAGTGGCCTACAGTTGGCTCCGGGCATTCAAAATCATGCCCAGGAATGGAGTTCTGGGAACTTGAAGAGCACGAAGTGGCCTACAGTTGGCTCCGGGCATCCAAAATGTGTCCCGGGAATGGAGTTCTGGGAAATCGAAGAGCACGAAGTGGCCTACAGTTGGCTGCGGGCATCCAAAATGTGTCCCGGGAATGGAGTTCTGGGAAGTCGAAGAGCACAGTGGTCTACAGTTGGCTGCGGGCATCCAAAATGTGGCCCGGGAATGGAGTTCTGGGAGGTCGAAGAGCACGAAGTGTGTGACTGTTAGCGAAAAACGAGTGCGGCGGCAGCCGCGGCGGCAGTCTGTCCGGGTCCCGCCCAGACCCCCCTGAGGAGTCATGATGCTCTCTTTTGAGACCACTAGAAACCTATCAGCAAGAGCTGTTAGGTAAATAGGATTTTAATGCATGATTAATTTACGAATCAATTGATGCATGAACTCACCGCTGTTTTTAATGCTGATCCCTGCCTGTTTAATACATCATCCGCACGCGGAGCATGTACCAAAAACGGCACTGTAGAGAACGAACCGCAAGACACCGGACGTCCAGAGGGCCGGCCCCAGATGACCTTCCCGGGCAGGCAAAGACGCCTTCGAGCGGCACGCGGCGGCCCCCAGAGGGAGCCAAGACGGCCCCCGAGCAACCCCAGACGTCCTCCAACCATCCAGACATGATCTTCTGGCCAACGACGGGGCGGGAATGAGCCTCCCGGCTGGGGATGAGTCGAAAGCGACTCCCAGCTGGGGATGAGGTGGGTATGTGTCTACTGGGCGCTGCAGAACAAATATCATGGGCCGATCGTGGAAATTTGCGAACGCAACCAGCGCGCCCCTTTTCAGACAGAGCAGGCAGACCTGGATCCCCTCGCGCACATCCGCATGCAAGCCCGTGTGCACGCAAGCACGCCTGAGCCAATACACGCGCACAGGCTTCGTTTGGAGAACTGCGCGAGCGGAATGCTACTGCAGACAACGGAGGGCCGGTGCACCGCGAGATCAGGCCACAGCTGGTGAAGCGAGCCACGCGGATGGCAAGCACGTGCGCACGCCTGGACGCCCGCGCAGATGCTCAGATGCGCCCACACTCGCCTGCGCGCTTCAGAGCCAGCTCGACACACTGCCCCGTCTCCGAGGGCGCCGGGCCGAAACGCGTGCTCGCACGAGCTCCTCCTTCAACCGGCTTGGACGGCGCCGCCAACGCCACCTCTTTGGCCTGAGGCTCAGGGAGGGAGGCAGCGCGGACATGAGTGGGGAGGAGGAGGAGGGAGGAGGAGGAGGAGGAGGAGGAGGAGGAGGAGGACAAGCTAGATGCCCTCGCGTCATATCTGACGTCCTACCCCTCCCTCCCATCCCTTACCATGGCGCTGATTTTCTCTATCCGCGGACGTGTGTCCCTGTGGCTCCGCGCGCGCGTGCGTAGTGGGTGGTGGTGCGCGTGCGTGCGTGCGTGCGTGTGTGCGTGGTGGTGGTGGTGGTGGTGGTGGTGGTGGTGGTGGTGGTGGTGGTGGTGGTGGTGGTGGTGGTGGTGGTGGTGGTGGTGGTGGTGGTGCTGGTGCTGGTGCGGTGGTGGCGGGCGGATGGGCGCGCGAGAAAGAGGCCCGCGCTGGGGCGAGAACGCCATCCTGAACGACGGAGGCCAAACACCGATCCGAAAATGAGGCCCACGCTGCAGCGGGAGCACGATTCGGAACGATTCGGGAGCAGAAATGAGGCCGGCGCCTCAGCGAGAGCAGCATTTTGAACAAAAAACACAAGCGAAAACCCGTTTCCCGGGAATCGGAGGAGGGAGGAGGAGGAGGAGGAGGAGGAGGAGGAGGAGGAGAAGGAGGAGGAGGAGGAGGAGGAGAAGGAGGAGGAGAAGGAGAAGGAGAAGGAGGAGGGAGGGCGGACATGAATGGCTGTCACGGCTGCCTGGGGGCACGTGCCTCTGCCGAGGCCAAGGCAAGAAGCATCGCGTGAACTTTCCGGGGCTGGCCGAGTGAACATGGCAGCAAGACCTGTAGGTCAGCTCTGTGTGGGGCGCGCGCAGGGGCGCGAGAGGTAAGCCTACTGCACCCCAGCATCAGGACTGCCGTCGAGGGTGGTCATAACGCAGACAGCGCCGGTTCTGCTCCGGCACTGCCTCCCTGGCCCCGCAGCGCGGCTTTCGTGTGCCTATAGCTGCATAGCCACAGATAGACATCTTGGGAGCTCGCAGCTCTGCGCTGCCGTGCCGGCCTCGTCGCGCGTCCCCGCTCGCCCTCGGCCCCCGCCCCTCCCCTGGCCCCTGGGCGCGCGCCTTCCCTCCCGAGGCCCTGGACCCCGCAGGCCCCCCGACCTTCTCCCTGGCCGCGCTCCCTCGCTCGCCTGCGCCGCGGCGCCCTGCAGCTCCGCCGCCCGTGCCCGGGCGCCTCGCGCCTCGCCGCGCCGCCCTCTCGGCCCCTCCTCGCCCCCCCCCCCCGCCCCCTCCTGGCCCTGGACGCAGAGGCTCCCCCTTCGGCCCCGGGCGCCCGCCCCCGCCCCCCGCCGTGCGCCTCCCCCCGCGCCCCCGCACGCTGCCCCCCCCCTTCGCGCCCCCCCCCCCCCCCCCCCCCCCCCCCACATGTCCCAGGCCCCTGCCCCGCCCCGCCCCCCCCCCCCCGGCCCGACCTCGCCCCCCAGCCCCTTCCCTTCCCCGCCACTGGGCCTCCCTCCTGGACCCGGTCTCCTGCCTTCCCCCACGGCCCTGGGCCCCTTCCCATGTAGCCCACACCCCGCAGTGGGACCCGCCCCCAGTGTCCTGGAGCCTTGCCCCCTGGCATCTCTCTGTGGCCCGTGCCCTCGCTCCCCCTCGCCCAGGATCTTCCTATCCTTTCGCGCAGCTGTGCTCTAGAGCTCGGAGCCCTTCATCTTCGTCGATCGTCGTTCGTTGGTCGTTTGTTAGACTGTCTCACAGAGGCGGCCCCACGAAAGCCCCAGGATGGCTGCGAGAGATTTCCATCGCCCATACGTATCTCGTGCAAGAGCCAAGGCACGCTCGCCGCTGTTTTGAGCATAAGTGCTCGTGAGATCGGTGTGCCCTGATAAAGACATCGTTCGTGAAGATGGGTTGTTGTTTATGTTTCTCCCTCTCCCTCTCTCTCTCTACATCTATGTACATACATGTATATCCTAGAATGTGGTTGAAAAGGAGACACCACCGCCAGACTGCCGATCCACTCGTCGCTCTGCTCAGCGCGGGAACCCAGATTCGAAAAATGGGGTGGTGCGAATCAGGACACCAAGCGTATCAACACTGAAAAGATAAAGACAAGGAGGAGAAGGAAAAGGAGGGAGGAGAGGAGAGACAACTCTCACGAGCAACGGTCGACCACTCTGGGATCTACACCAAAGCGTGCCCAACGAAGCCGAATGGACCCTGGCTGAGGCCACGGGCAGCAGCGAGCGAAACAACAGGAGCAAGCGGACGACAAGGAGGGGGACAGAGGGACGAAGAGCCCAGCCGCCGCCGTCGTCGTCGTCGTCGTCGTCGCCTCCCCCGTGGAGCCCCGCAAACTCTTTTCCTCGTGGCTCCCTCTTGGCTTCCTCTTTTCCAATCTGGTTTCTTCCTCGTGGCTCCCTCTTTTCCAATACATGTCCGCATTGGTTTTGCGCCACATCGCCATACCCCTGTCTTAACACCAAGAACATCGGACGTCTCCGCACACCAAATGTCACGGACAACTTACGTGCGTACTTGGAAGGCTGGCAGCCAGTGCTTCTGTTCTGACTTCACACGTCGATGCTCTCAGCAAGCACATGTCCTTCACCGCACCTCCCCTCGGGCGTCGGACCCGCCTCCACCTTATCCCTGTAGATGTCGTGGACTGCAGCGTTCACCAGCTGGTTCAAGACACGAAGCTTCGTGGACAGGCTGCTGTCATCCAGGCCTGCCCGGGTGAACTTCGGCACGTGCCATGGCCGTTCCGCGGGGCCGCTCACGGGAAACCGGCCGGAGGGCGCACGCCGGACCTCTGGCCGACCGACGACGCTGCTGTGTCCGTGCGCGCTCTCGGTGTTGGACGGGTGCTTGCCATCCTGTCGATCTGCCTCCCTTCCCCGCCAGTCGGCCTCTGTCGGCACGCATGCGCGCATGCACGTGCACCTACGTATGTCTGTCTGTGCCTGCGTCTGCCTCCGCGCCGCGCTCGTCTACATCACCGTCTCTGCGACGGTCTGTCCGTCCCTCCGTGTCTTTCCGCAGCTATGTTTGTGCATCCGTCGAGCGCTCTGCAACAGTTTGCCACAAGTGTACCTCCGGAGACAACTTCTTGCAGGTTGAACAAGACATGGACCAGAGCAGCGCCAAGAAAAATGCGTCTGTTACCTCAAGGCCCCTTGACAAACCATTGCCGTATCACACACGCAATACCATGGTAAATGTAAGCCGCAAGTGTGGCATTAATGATGCTGCATTCACGAAACTTTCATGGACAAGACAACAAATCCGATCAACCCAAAAAGCTGCCAACAAAGAAAACATAGCGGACCGTCTGCTTGCACGCCCAACTCCCTGAGGGCCGCTATTTTCCGTGGCAAGAAGTGGCAGTGGGGAGTAGGGGGCAAACAAACCTATTTCGCTTTTGACCACCCTCGCTTCCAAGAGATACCAAGCGATGCCAAACTACGGCCTGTACTGGTCAGGCCGCTTGACGAGGAGGCGCGTGGTATGACTTGATGTTGCCTGGAAGCGAAAGCGGGGTAGGTAATTCACGCTCTGAGGGAGAGAGGGTAGCGTCAAAGTGGAGAGGTAGGGCAGTGTTGGCTTCTGGCTAGAGTGCAACACAAGCAGGATTCAATTTGGGGAGTGGGAAGGAGGCAGACGAGCGGGACTTGGGACGGGAGTTCGAAGACGATAATAGGGACGGCAACCACAGGATGGAACGAGGTGAGGGCATAAACAAAACTGCCGAACATCCGCGCGGATGTGTTGGATCGGCGGTGGACATCTGTCCATAGCACGCGGAGTGCATCAGGGGCGGCGCCGTAGGTGCCGCAAGGGGGCCCCAGCGCCGATCCAAGAAATCCGCCCGGATCCACGAACATTTATATTCATGCTGACTTCTGGGTCTGGCGCGTGATGTGATCCATGGATCGGGGAAACATCCGAAACAGTAAGCAAATTAGTGCCGCCCGATCTTTTGCAACGCAGCGCATCGATGTCGTATGGTAACCAGACCCGTCGCCATTCCACGCGCCTTACTCGCGCCTTACTTAATGCACTCTCACCCCCTTCCTCAGAACCACCGAGCCTGGCCTGGCTCTCGCTCAGGCCGGGCGGGCTCCCGCAGAGGGCCACGCGCACGCAGGAGCCGACCACTGTGCCAGCATCGGTGCACGCGGCCCCCTCGAGGGAGAACGTTAGGGGGGGACCAGCTCAGGAGGGGAACGTCGAGCTGAAATCGGCAATAGGTCGCCGAGAGATCGACGATGTTTTCCCGATGGCGGATCCGCACGGTCGTGGGCGGGGTGGGCAATCGGGCCGGCGTCGAAGCTGGGCGAGGGGGGAAGTCGAGACGTGCCCCCCGAAGCCAATCCTCACTCAACGGTTCTCCGGACTCCTGGCCTCGCCAGGGTGGCGCAAGCGCCGGTCCTGCCGGTCGCGCGTTGATGGCCCCAGAATGAAATCGCGGGCCCTACTCGGGAGCCTGCGGAAGTACACTGGAGAAACCGTCGCCTCACAGGACGGGGGCGCCCACGCCTTGGGCGCGCTCTGCTCACACCCGCCCGCTATACCGCTATACCGTATACCCCACCCCCACACCCGCACCGGTCCCGGGCCCTGGGGCCTGACCAGTATCGGCGGAGCAGGTGGCCACCTAGACATCCGACGATGATCTGATTTTCCAATCCGCGCCCCCAGAGTTCCAGACCGCGTCCCTACTTTGCCCCTGGTCCGATTTGGATGACCCCGGGCCCTGGAAACAGCCCTCGAGGCCCGAAATCTCAGGAAACAAAAAAAAGCCGCCTGAAAAGTTGGCAACCCCTGGCGCACCTCCTGTTGGGCTTCTACTAACCCGGATCAATGCATAACCAGGGTCAGCCCGGCTTTGCGGGACCCTGCAAGATACCGCGGGATCCTGCGCGCAAGCCCAGGTCAATGCACCCCTGGCCCTGCGGGATCCTGCAAGATCCAGCGCTATGGCTGACCCCCGCTTAGGGGGCCACGTGCGAAACCTACCCCTACCCCCCACGATTTCTGAGGGGGAGGGTGGGGTTCACTTCGTTCGGGAGCTCCCGAGCGAAGTGAACCCCACCCTCCCCCAGAAGTCGTGGGTGGTAGGGGTAGGGTTCGCACGTGGCCCCCTGCTGTTTGCTCTGATCCCCGCCTCTACCAGCTCGAGATCTGGGCAACAGGCGGCCCCCGGCGCGCCCCGTGCGACGGCCGGCGGCTGCGCGGGCCCCCCCCCCTGGGAGTGCCGCGCCCGCGCCAGCCCCCGCCCGGCCGCACGGGCCAGGAGGTGCGGGCACGCGCCGCTCCTGGCCGTCGCCCCTCGCGATTATCCTCCTCCTCCTCCTCCTCCTCCTCCTCCTCCTCCTCCTCCTCCTCCGCCTCTTCCTCCTCCTCCTCCTCCTCCTCCTCCTCCTCCTCCTCCTCCTCCTCGACGCAGCCCAGCGGACAAGTTCATCCTGTCCTCGATACACAGAGCCCCTCGGCGGATGGCACGGCGGGGCTATCCTGCAGAATCAAACACCCATGCAGGGTGAGACCTGGAAGAGCTCGTCTCCAGCACGCACCGCATCGGCAGTCCTTATTCACCTGGCATCGTCCCCGCGCCAGGTTAGCCAGAACCCGAACGCCCCAGGAGAGCGGAACGGGCTTACCCGAGCACGGGGGCGACAGCGCAGGGGAAGAGCCAAATCCAGCGGCGCCGCGCACAGCGCAGGCGACGCCCCACTTGCCAGAGTCGGCGAGACGAACGGGGTGAATAACATGCGCGCGGCCACCAGCAATGGCCACACGGACAGATGCCATGTCGGCTTGCCTGAGAGCACGAGGCGCTCACGGGGGCTCAGGCGGCAAGACAACCAGCGGGGGCTCGCGGGTTTTCGAGGCCTTATGACGCTGGCCATCAGTAACATGAGTCGAATCGGTCGCCACCAAAGCTGGGCTGACTCGAGCCACCCACGTGGCATAGTTACGGAGCGTGGTCGCCTTCTGCTCAAGCTGCTCACGCAACTCAGACGGCAGGCGAGAGAAGTCAGCGGCTTGCTTGGCATACTCATCTGCCATGTCATTGCCAGCCCTGTGGAACTGGAAGGCAGACGCGGCGCCAGACTGGACGTGAGCGCGCGTGGTATGGCCTTTCACTTCGACGAAACCACCCAGCTCACCAACACCACCCCAGTCAGAAATCTTGCGCCATACCATGCGCCAGAGCTCAGCCCATTGAGACTTGGTCCACGCTCAAGGATACCGTGAACGACAAAGCTGGAATCGCTGTAAAATGTAGTCCCAGGCAGAGAGACGCACAGAGCATGGAAGAACGCCATAAGCTCTAGTGCGTCGACGTCTGCGGCGGGATGCTCGAAAGAGCCGGCATGCATGGCAACGGCCCGATGCGAATCTTCAGAGACCTGGGCGCAGCGCCAGCCTGGGCCGCGATGCTCGACCGAAAAGTTAGGGCCCCGCAGGCTGCCATCCAGGAAAACGCGCCCATGCAAAAAAAAAAAAAACACCCCTCAGGAGCCACAGGGCCGGGGGCCGCGGAGCAGGAAGGAGGACAGCGAGCGGCACCAGCAGCCACTCGGCGAGGAGGCGAGGGAGCGGCTCGACAGCAGCAGCGGCGAGGCGCCCAGGGTAGGGAGGAGGAGTGGCATCGAGGACCTCCTCAGCGAATCCGCACGAAGGACGCCTGCGCGACAGAGTGCCAGGCGCAGAGAGAGAGAGAGAGAGGCCCGACACAGGGACTCGGACGATAAATTGGCATCGCGCCGACGCTGGCGGGGCCGCTGGCCGCCCGAAGCTACGCTGCGAAGGTAGGCCGCCACTCGGGTCCAAATCTTTGAATCTGCTTACCCCGAATGACCTGCTCAATGGGATGCCGCAGCGGACCTCCGCGTGCCTCGGGAAGCCCCAAATGGTCAACAACCCTCTCCCAGATCCACCCGTCAACCGCCCGATCCAACACCGGCCCCAGGGTGCGAGGGGAGCGGTCGAGAGGGTAAGGGGGCCAATCGATGGGCGCGACCGCTGGAGTCCTTGAATCTTGATGCCTATTCGCATGGCAGTGGCCTCGCGCGCAGAAAAGGGCCCTCGGATACTCTGCCAGGGAGAAGCGTGCTCGGACAGGCGTTCCCAAGCATCCTCAAGTCCCCCCCATCAAGACCGAGAGGGGCATCCAGGAGCCCCGGGCGGCCGAGGCGAGGGCCAGCGAGGGGCCCGGATTGAGGCGACAGCGGGGCCAATCCTACCGACATCAGAAATCTGCAGCGTGGTGGCGCAGGACCGCCATGCACGCGCATAGCCTCTGCCTGAGCCTGCCGGCGTCGAGCCTCTCGCTAGCTCGGTGGCGTTCGCGCCGAGCACCCGGTGGCCATGGGCACGAGCGATGAAGATAGCAGACTGTAACATGTGATGCGCCTGCTTGCGCTTAACTGCTTACCGAGGGAAATAAACATGTTGTGCCGCTGTCGAGAAGGGCCAAAGCGCCCGTGCCTGACCTGCCTAGAGGCGACTCGCCCACCTGAGAAATCGATGCCCAAGTTGCACAAATCACGAGAGGAGGCAACAACCCTGCTCTTGGAACGCTTGATTCGCAAATCCACGAGGCCTAACTCTTAATGTAAGAGCTTCGTGGCGCCCGCAAGATTCCCAGCAACGCGCGCGTCCCGCCCGCGCGCGCGTGGCCCAACGTCATCTACCAACACCCCTTAATCAACAGAGCAGTAGCGCTGCGAGACATTGTCTGACGGCCGCAAGACCGCAAGCTGCAGCATGAGGGTGGCGAAGTGGCACCCTGGAAGCACGGCTGGCAAGGAGTGAGTGACGCGAGAGGCCCGACCGTCCAAGTCTAGGACGCGCGGCGCTCTGTACAACTGGATGAGCAACTTCAGTTGCCTAAGAGGGTACCAGTGGCGACGGCGGCCTGCTGCAGCCGCGAGCGAGAGATCCGCTCGAACGCTTTTTCCAAATCGAAGAGCACCAGAGCGCCCGCGGAGCCGCGCACCTGGCAACGCTCAGACATGGCCGACTGGGCCCAGACCAATCTTTCGGAGCCGCGTCCAGCCGTGGCCCACCAGGAGGCCGCCGCAGTTCTTGTCCTGCCGGGCTCGCACAAGAGGTCGGCGAAGGCAGTGAAGGAGATCTGTTGGCCTAAGGCCTCCCGTGCGCTCAAGGGAGAGAACAATTTTCGCGTGCGCCGCAGGCCACTGACATTGCACTTCCATATCCATGACCAGCTGAATCAACGCTGACATGGCCTCATCGCGAAGGTGCTCAAACTGCCGACTGGCGACCACGTCGAACCCGCAACCCGCGCGCAGGAGAGAGGGGCGGAGGATCTCGCGCATCTCCCCGACCGAGGGCCCAGGACACAGCGGGCCTAGATCAGCAGGCCGCGGATTGTCGTCGCGAGGCTCGCTGACGCGCCGCCACCTGCACCACTCGTCAGCCAGGAGATCCATCTCCTGCTGGGGGTTGGCGGGAGGCGGATGCTCTCGCCGCGCGCACTAACTCGAAGCGCGGCGCGCCAAGGCGCGCGAGGCCCGGCGCCGGAAAACAGAGCTGCAGCCCCGTCCACCGAGCGATCGCGAACCCACTGGCGCTAAGAGGCGCTCTTGGCACTCGCGGCCTTTATGCGCTCTCGACAAGCTCTGGCCCGGGCTCCCGTGGCCAGAACAGAGGCAATCCCACGGGGCAGATCTCGCTGGCCCCCTGAAGCGCGCGGAGCCGCGCTCCCGCGTTGGCGAGAGCACCAGCTAGCACGAGTTGTTTGGCCCCCCGAACGAAACGACGGCAACGGCCGAGAGAGCGACTGCGCTGCGTGCTGGAGTGCCAAAAAGACAAACATTGCAAAGCGCGGCCTACCTGCCGCCGCCAGACGGCAAGCGGGCTCGAGGAAAAGGAAACCGCCGTGGATCACGTGGCCGCACATGCACGAGTCGAGGTTCGTCCACGCAACCTGCGTGCTGGACCGCATCCTTGCAAGCTATCTGGTACATATCCGAAAAAGGTGACTCTCAGCAAGCATTCTGAAAGATTGTCATTGGGTATCCACCTCATGCCCTTCGTTCTCACGCAGCATGGTCGCCCAATCTGAAGCCCACCGGCACATCCTGCAGGCCGAACGCGGGGAAAAAGACACGGCGCGCGCGCCTGCAAGACCCAAACTGGCTCGGTGGAAGCCTGGTGCGTGAGGCGCACGGGCTTGCGCGGCTCGGTGGCGATGCCACTCGTGACATTAATGATGTGCCCATACTGTAGGATACCATGAATAACAATGTCACCCATCGTGCGGCAAACATTCTCTGACGTACAATTGGGAATGGCATAGGCACATCTGACGGCGTCAATGCTCTAAACCCAGAGGTTGGCCTGCAGCTGCTCTGGTGGAATTAGCCACTCACCTTGAATGACAAAAGGCATGCAGAAAGACTTGACCACTTCACGTATCTGACACAACAGAGACCAGTTCGCCACGGCTAGCCCATTGCTGTGGTGCAGATGAACTCCTATCCGTTAAAATCCACCTGGACAAAACCCGCCACAATGAACGACTGATACACGCCCTGGAGCGAGGTCGGTGGAGACGGTCTCGACTTCACTGACACCATGCCCTGATGTAAGGAGACCGATACCTCCTGTGGCGCCCTTTCCCGACTGCGAACAGATGGCGGAGGAGAGCCTAACATGCCACCCTGCGCGGCGGAGCTCGCGCTCTGAATCCGTAGTAGTTAATGTATGGTGTTCTTGAATGCATACGGCCTGAGCGTCGCGAGCACCAGGATCAGCAAGCAGTTCATACATGCCCGCGTGCCCAGACACGTTGGAAGTACAGGGCAGTTTTTCATACATTGGATTTTAACATATAGGATTTGTAATACATGATTGATGTGTGAATAAATGTATGCATGAGCTCCTCGTTTTTAATACTAACTCCCTGCATTGTTAATACATGATCCGCACGCGGAGCATGTATTAAAAACGGCACTGTACTGATGGTGAAGGCGCAACCCTTCAGGCGGAGCAGCCGCCTCGGCGCCTGTCCCAGGCTGAGCCGCCCCGTCGGTGCCACGAGGCCTCCTGCAGAGGTGCGCCCTGGCGGCCAGCAGCAGGCCGATGGCGTCGGAGCTCTTGACCCCGTGGGTGGCCTCCACTTCGCCGAGAAAGGAACTGTCACCCAAGAGGTCGTCAACTTCATGTCGAACGGCACGGCCCTGTCGGAAGCAGGCACCTCTGCCTGCTGAGGTGGAGGCTGCTGCTGCTGCGGTGGAGCTGCAAGGTGCCCGCCAGGAGCCTGGGCAATTGGAGCAGGAGCAGGAGGGGCGGTACTCCGTCGCCATGGACTCGGTCTGAGCCTTGAACCCGTCGAACTTCTCTTGGCCCTGGACGTCGTCGTCAACAGGCTCGATCAATACCGACTTGGCCCAGGTCTGAAACTGGCCTTCAGCAGGGGCAGGTGTCATGGACTGGTAGGCCAGCGAAGCCCGCGCAGCCGCCTCCTGAGCGGCCTTGGTGGCCGCAGCCAGCCCCTCCCTGGCGGTGTGCAGGGCCCTGGAGACTCTCGGAGAAGGTGGACATCGCCCGAGCGCGCTTGGCTTGGGCACGCTGGAGCTGGCTCTGGGTGACGTCCTGCTTGATGCGCGCAACCTTGGCCGCTGCCTGCGGCTCACAGAGAGCATCGCGAGCAGCACGCACACGCCCCAGCACACGTGGGCGCCAGTTGGCACTGATCTGGCCGAAGGCGTCGGGGGCCATGGCTGCATATACCCACACTTCCGAGTGTGAGGACAAGACCAGCAATCCATGCGTGGCTGATGTATGGGGCGATGGCCAAGCAGTGAGGGGTGAAACCTCAAAACAGTGCACGCAAACAGTGAGGGCCGCAATTCCCTCTGGCCAAACTCAAATCCTCAGAGCCTCCCGCGACGGACTTGAGCCAAAATGGCTACGAACCTCCTCCTATTCCTCCTCCTCCTCCTCCTCCTCCTCCTCCTCCTCCTCCTCCTCCTCCTCCTCCCTCTCCCCCCTCCCCACTCCCTTCTCCGAAACCCTGCCGCCGAAAAGCGCGGCTCCTGGCGTACGTGGCGACGTGACCGTACCACGCGTCGTTGAAGTCGCGAAGGGTCTTCCGCTGCGCAGGGGTGTACAGGCGGATCTTCTCCTCCTGCGGCCCGGTGCCCGCGGACTGGGGGGGGCTCTCCCGCGGTCCCCAGATCCCTCCCCCCCGTAGCACTGTCAGTAGAAGTGGGAGGGAAGATCGATGGGGAGGGGTGGGAGAGGGATGGGGGAGAAAGGGGTAGTGTGGGAGGGATGGAGAGGGGAGGAATGGGAGGAGAGAGGGGAGGGGTGTGAGAGGAATGGGAGAGGCGAGGAAACGAGGGGGAAGCGTCTTGCCAAATTATCACGCTGGACCTGAGAAAATTATCATGCGTGCGCCATTCTCAGCACGCCCACGCAGGTGCTTCGCAGTCTGATGTGTCTACCACGCCAAGACCTCGGTGTTCCACGGTGCCGACGTAATCCGCCACCGCGCCCCCTGACATTTGGGGCCTGCTGGAACGTCAAGAGCTGTCTGGTAGGGCTTCCATAATCTTCTAAGAACCCCCCCCTCTAGTCGAGCTTCGCCTCATGCACCAGCCCCCCTCCCAAGGCCCAGCCCGTTTTCCAAAATGCGACAGGTCTGCACGCTGGAGGCTAAACCTCCCGCGGTATACACCAAACTCGCGCTCACGAAGCCAAGATGCCTCCAAGACGGCTGACAGACGGCCCACTGTGACCTCAAGACGGGGCAAGATGGCATCAAGACGGCCCAAGAGCCCTTCAAGACGTCCCAGGAGAGCCCCAAGAGCCTCCCCAAGAGTGCCTCGAGAGGCAAACATCAATGTGTCTCTCTTCCAATTTTTCATTTAGGGTTCTCGCCTTTTCGAGCTTCCGACGTCCAAAAATGGCAGGGGCCCCGAAGAGAACCCCAGGACGGCCGAAGAGATCCCCAAGTGGAAGACGTCCTCCAGGAAGGCCCAACAGGTTTGTAACCATTGATAGTCTTTAGGTTTTGAAGGATGTTGGTTGTTGCACCTTTTCAGCTCTCCGACGGCCCAAGACGGCCTCCAGCTTTGCCCCAAGAGCGCCCAAGAGGCCTCCAAGATGGCCCCATGACAGCCCAAGAGGCCCCCAATAGGGCCCCAAAAGGACCCAAAGACGGCCCAAGAGGCCCCCAAGACGCCCAAGATTGCCTCCAAGACGGCCAAGATGGCCTCCAAGACGCCTCCAAGACGCCAAAGATGACCGTCAAGACGGCTAAGATGGCCCGAAGATGCACCCAAGACGGCCCAAGATGGCTAAGACGGCCCTGTAGGCCCGAAAGAGGTCTCCAAGACGGCCCAAGAGCCCTCCAAGACGTCCTGCAAGACGGCCCGAAGAGGCCAACTTCCTTGATGTTTGTTCGGAAAGATTTTGGAAGCTCCTTCTTATCAGCTCTCCGACGGCCCAAGACGGCCCCCAGCTTTGCCCCAAGAGCGCCCAAGAGGCCACCAAGATGGCTCCATGACAGCCCAAGAGGCCCCCAAGAGGGCCCCTAAGAGGACCCTAAAACGGCCCAAGAGGCCCCCAAGACGCCCAATATTGCCTCCAGGACGGCCAAGATGGCCTCCAAGACGCCTCCAATACGCCCACGATGGCCGTCAAGACGGCTAAGATGGCCCGAAGATGCACCCACGACGGCCCAAGATGGCCTCAAGATGGCTAAGACAGCCATGCAGGCCCGAAAGAGGTCTCCAAGACGGCCCAAGAGCCCTCCAAGACGTCCTCCAGGAAGGCCCGAAGAGGCCAAATTCCTGGATTTTCTTTCGGGAGGATTTTGGAATGTTCTTCTTATCAGCTCTCCGACGGCCCAAGACGGCCCAAGAAGGCCCCCAGCTTTGCCCCAAGAGCGCCCAAGAGGCCTCCAAGAGGGCCCCATGACAGCCCAAGAGGCCCCCAAGAGGGCCCCAAGAAGACCCCAAGACGGCCCAAGAGGCACCCAAGACGGCCAAGATGGCCTCCAAGACGGCCAAGATGGCCTTCAAGATGCCTCCAAGACGGCCAAGAAGGCCTCCAAGACGGCGAAGATGGCCCCGAGATGCACCCGAGACGGCCCCAGATAGCCTGAAGATAGCCTCAGACTGCCCAAAAGGCCCGCCAGAGGCCTCCAAGACGGCCCAAGACCCCTCCAAGACGTCCTCCAGGAGGCCCGAAAGCTCGGAAACCACCTGGTCCGTTAGCTCGCCGGACTCCGTGTTCCCCGAAGGCTTTCGAAACCCACTCAGGGAGCGTGGCCCGATAGCTTGGCCAAGGTTATACTTCCGGCCACGCAGGCGCTCCCAAAAAGGCAAGTGGCGGCGGTGATTCGCCGTGGGCGTCTTCGATCCGCCGCCCCCTGTGCTTGCCACAAGGCTGCCCGGCAAGTTGGATCCTTTCGATTTTGGTTTTGATTCTTTTTCCAAACGAACTCGGGCTTCGGCCCGTCCCGCATGCCACCCGGAAGGACCCAGAAAGGTGCTCAAAATGCCTGGACGGTTGCCCCAGTCGCCTTCAAGGCGGCCAAGATGGCCTCCAAGGGGCCTCCAAGACGGCCGAGATGGCCTCCAAGACGGCTAAGATGGCTCCAAGGTGCCTCCAAGACGGCTCAACAGACGGCCTCAGACGGCCTCAAGACGACCCAAGACGGCCTCAACCTTGGGTTTTTGAAGAATTTGGGTATTTCCTTTTTGTTCCGCTTTCCGACGGCCCGAGACGGCCCAAGAGCCCCCGAAGATCGCCCCAAGATCGCCCAAGAGGCCGCCAAGATGGCCCCAGAACGGCCCAAGAGGCCCCCAAGACCGCCCCAGGAGGGCCCGAAGACGGCCTAAGAGGCCTCCCAAACTCCCAATATTGCCTCCAAGACGGCTCTGGAGCACTCTAAGAGGGCCCCAAGTCGGCCCAGAGAGGCCCCCAAGACGGCTTCCGACGGCGTCGCCCCCAAGAAGCCCCCAGACCCCCAAGAGGCCCAAGGAGGCCCCGAAGATGCCTCCAAGAGGCTCCCAGGAAGCTGCCTGGAGGCCCCAAGAGTCCCCAGAGACTCCCAAGATGCCCCTTCCTCCTCCTCCTCCTCCTCGTCCTCCTCCTCCTCCTCGTCCTCCTCCTCCTCCTCCTCCTCCTCCTCGGCGGCGCGCAAAGAGGGGTAGGAGGAGGGGGGAAGGCTTCTTAGAAGGAGGCTGCTTCTTAGAAGGCGCCAGCCTTACATCTACAGAGAAGGCCCGCACCTTCTAAGAAGCAGGGGTGCTTCTAAGAAGCCTTCCCCCCTCCCCCTACCCCCCTCTGCGCGCCGCCAACCTCCTCCTCCTCCTGATCTTCCCCGTCATCCTCCCCCAAGTGTTCCCCGAAGGGTTTCCACAACGGCTGGGGGGACACATGGTCCGATAGCTTGGCAAAGCTCTAGCCACAACGCTCGGCCACATGGGCAATTCTAGAAGGCAGGGGGCGGCGGTGATTCGCCGTAGGCGTCTTCGATCCGCCGCCCCCCTGTTGGCTTGCCACAGGGGTGCCCGGCGTGCTAGATCCTACTGGTTTGGTTTCGGTTCATTTCCAATTACACCAGAGAAAGAACCCAATCAATGGATGGTTTGAAATGGGATCGATAAAGAGATCGATAAGGAGATCAACTGGGAACCCAAGAACCTGGAACCCACTGAAGTCGGCCCCGAACCAATAACCAAAAGCCCGGGAACCCGGGAACCCGGCCGGCTACCAACATCGGCGGGAAACTTTCGCCAAATCTGTCTATTTCCGCTAGGACCCCCTCGCTGAGGGGGAGTTCTTTTTCCCCATTCAGTGCTTTCACTGGCAGTGAGAGCACTGATTGGGGAAAAGAAACTCCCCCTGGGGCTTCGGCCCGACCCGCCACCGTGCCGTTCGCTCGAGACATTCTCAACAAAACCTCGCGCCCTTGAGGATCCCAGCCCGAGATGACTTGTAGTACGCATGAGCGCTTTGCCTGAGACGTCCTCGCCAACAAAAACGCCGACTGGCCACGCGGAAGGCTGCTCGCGAGGTGGTTCCAAAATTTGGTTCCGTCCATTTCGCTGGGAACATCCTCAAGACAAACGTGATGTGTGCGATCCTGGTTCAAGACGCCTTACGATAAAAATAAGCGTTTCGCACGAGACGTCCTCGAAACATGGGGATGTTGGAATCGATGGCCTCATCCTCGAATCTTCAAAATTGCATTGTCGCTGCAGACATCCTCAAACAATGAAAAACAACAGCAACATAACGCATCGACAATCATGTCGGAGCTCTCGCGGATGATCTCTAAGATTGCCCAAGAAGCGCAACTACTGAAAAACCCTAGGGTTCTTAGCACATGTGTTCAGACGTAAGCGTTTCGCTCGAGACATCCCCTCAACATTGCCTTCGGGTGCGCTCTCGGATGATCTCCAGGATGGCCCCTTCCCCTCCTCCTCCTCCTCCTCCTCCTCCTCCTCCTCCTCCTCCTTCCCTTCCTCCTCCTCCTCCTCCCCTTCCTCCTCCTCCTCTTTCCTCTGTTCCTCGTCCTCCTCTTCCTCCTCCCACTCCTCCTGCTCCTCTTCATCCCACGCGTCTTCCCCGAATGCCCTCCTGACCAACTGGGGGAACACATGGTCCGACATCTAGGCCAAGCTCTGGCTCCCACGTTCAACCACAGATGTGGTTCAACAAAAGCAGGGGGCGGCGGTGATTCGCCGTAGGCGTCTTCGATAAGCTTCAATGGTATCACACGTGCCAGCGGGGTCTTGCCTGTCCTTCCCCATGAGTATAGCAGGCGCCATAATTGCAAGTATCCACGACTTGCGGTGGGATGACGCCACGCCGCTCACGGGTGAGATGCCCGCGCATCGATGCATTCGATGGGAAGCCATATCGACGTAACAAAGGGAAGAAGATAACGGGACAAACGTGACGGAATCCGCCGCCGCCCACGCGCGACGTGGGCGTGTCAGAACCCGGGCCGGCACGGGAACGGAAGCAGCACTTTCTTTGGAGCGGACGTCTGAGAACGGCCACAAGGGCTTGGCGGCCGCTTACGCGGCAGCGGTTTTGCCACAGGCAGCATCATTCAGAGGTGTCGGCGTCGGAAGGAAGGCGACCGAGCACTGGGAAGCGCCGTGGCCCTGGCGTGGAACGGTTTTCGCGTGACTGTGCGCTTCGACGGTCGAAGCTGTGTACGTCTCTGCGAACGCTGGGGGTCTTGGGGATCCTAGCTTTTTGTATCACCCTTCGCTCTCGAAGTTGTGCCTTTGAAGGTCTTTTGGGGGCCTCTTGAGCGGCTCTGGGAGGCACCACGAAGGCATCCTGGGGTCCTCCTGGGGCTCCTTTTGGCAACTGTCGAGCCCTCTGGGGCCCTCTTGGGGCGTCCTGGGGCCCTCCTGGGCTGTCTTGAGGGGCGCGGGCCTGGGGCGCTCCTGGGGCCCTCTTGGGAGCCTCCTGTGGCCCCCGTGGGGCTCGGCTGGGACTCGCCTTGGGGTTCTGTGGGGCCCTCTTTGTGCCGCCTTGGGGCTCTCTTAGGCCGTCCCGAAAAGGCGAGAGCCCCCAAATCCTTCAAAAACCTAAGGAACATCGACGGTGTTTTGCCTGCCGAATCCCTCTTGGAGGTCCTCGTGGGGGCCCCCTTTGGACTCTCCTGTGGCCTGGGAGCCGGAGCCGCTCGAGGCTCCGTGGGGCCATCCTTGTGCCATCTTGGGGCTCTCTTGAGCCGTCTTCAAGCGCTCTTGGGCCGTACTGAGGCCCTCTTGGAAGCCTCTGGGGATGTTTTGGGGCCATCTTGGAGGCCTCAAAGGCCATCTTTGGCCGAATGTGGCCCGAAAAAGCGAGAACCCAAAAATTCTTCAAAAACCTAAGGAAGATCGATGGTGTTTTCCCTCCTGAGTGCCTCTTGGAGGTCCTCGTGGGGGCCTCTTGGGCCGTCTTGGGGCCATCGTCACTTCTCGTGGAGCGCTCTTGGGCCGTCTTGGGGCCTCGTTGGCCTCTATTCGACCGTTTTGGAGCTATCTTGAGCTGTTGTGGGGGTGTCTTCGGCCATATTGTTGTCATTCTGGGCCGTCTCGAAACCTCCTGGGCCGAAAAAGCCGCCAACATGGCCCCCGGAGGGGCGTGATAGAACCTGGACCGGCACGAGAACGGAAAGAGCGCTTCTGTGGAGCGGACGCTTGAGCATGGCCAGGGGTTGGGCGTTACCCGGCAGCGGCTTCGACATATGGATCATCATGCATAAGTGTTGGAGCAAACTGGAGGGCGAGGCGCGTTAAGACGGCCACCGTATAGAGGAGAGCGCAAGAGGAGAAAGAGGGGCAAGAGGAGAGGGAAAGACTGAGAGAGTGCGTTTGTGAAAGATACAAGCACGGGGTGAATCAAAAAGAAAGGGTACTTCACATAATTCTATAGCCGGCGGGCGTACTCCGTGCCGGAGGCGGGAACAGGGGACATTGGAAGACGGGAGGGAGGGAGTGAGGCAGCCGGCAGGTGAGAGAGATGAGTGGGACGACTCGGAGAGGACGAGGACAAGAGAGAAGATCCTAGCTTTTTGTATCACCGATCGCTCCTGAAGTTGTGTCATTGAAGGTCTTGGGGGGCCTCTTAAGAGGCTCTGGGCATCTTGGAAGCCTCTTTCAGTCCTCTTGGGGCTCTTTGCGTCCGTTTTCGGGCCCTCTTGGCCTGGTTTGGGCTGTGGAGCCCTCCTTGTGCCGTCTTAGGGCTATCTTGGGCCATCTTGAGGCGATCATGGGCCGTTTTGAAACCCTCTTGGGAGCCTCTGGGAGCGTCTTGGGGCTATCCCAGAGGCCTCCAGGACCGTCTGTGGCCGTTCGTGGCCCGAAAAAGCGAGAACCCGAAAATCCTTCAAAAACCTATGGAAAATCTATGGTCTTTCCCTCCTGAGTCCCTCTTGGCGGTCCTCGTGAGCTCGTGGGGGCTTCTTGGAGCATCTGGTGGGCCTCTGAGGCCGTCTCGGGGCCACCGTCGCCCATCCTGGAGCACTTCTTGGGTCGTCGCAGGGCCTCTGGGGCGCCTCCTGGACCGTCTTGGAGATATCTTGAGCCGCCTTGGGGGCCTCTTGGGCCCGTGTGGGGCCCTCCTTGGCCCGTCTTGGGGCTGTCGTGGGCCGTCTTGAAGCTCGCTTCGGATGTTCTCAGGCCCTCTAGGAAGCCTCTGGGGACGTGTTGGGGCGACCTCGGAGGCCCCAAAGGGCGTACTTGGCAGTTTTTGGCCCGAAAAGGCGAGAACCCCAAAACAGTCAAAAGCCGAAGGGAAATCCACTTGGTTTGTCTCTTGAGTCCCTCTTGGAGGTCCTCGTGGGGGCCTCTTGGGGCGCCTGGGGGGCTTCTGAGGCCGTCTCGGGGCCAACGTCGCCCCTCCTGGAGCACCCTTGGGTCGTCATAGGGCCTCTGGGGCGTCTCCTGGACCGTCCTGGAGATATCTTAAACCGTCTTGGGAGCCTCTTGGGCGTCGCTTGGAGCGTCCTGGGCCGAAAAGCCGCCAACATGGCCCCCGGAGAGCGTGTTAGAAAAGTCTGCGCGGTCCACCCAGCCCCCCGGACCCCCCCCCATTGGGGCTAAACCCATGTGCAGAACTTCTCTCGCTAGCGCTTTTTCCGTCAAATCTGCGCGCCCCCCCCCATTGGCCGTAAAATCTGCGCGGTCCCCCCCCCGCGGACCCCCCCCAAATTGGAGCCAAAGCCCTGTGCAGAACTTCTCTCGCTAGAGCACTTTCCGCCATGCCAAATGATGCCTGGCAGGGTGTCTTCCCCCTACCTGCTGGTAGCGCCTCTCTGCATGTTCTGCCCCTCCTCCCGAGGCTCCATGTTCCGTTGCACAAAAGCCGAAGTTGCCGCAAGCACCTGGATACGGTAACAAGTACAGATGTACGCAGTGGGATCACACACTGAACGGGGTCGGCATGACTATCCCAAACCTCCTGCTTTCGCGCAGCCTGTGGTGGGCTTGCACAAAAGTGGACTGGGAGAGCGTCCGAGAACTGGCCCCCTCGGCAGTCAGACGCAGTGTCACCACTGTATCCAGTTCCGCCTCTGCAGCGGCTTCGATGGACTGAGAGCCCCCCCTGGCCATCGCTCGGACGTCCATGCCCTGTGTTTTGTTCGGTTTCGTGCGTGTTGTTGTTCGCCAATTGATCAAGGATGCTCCTCGATGGTCCTCGCCGAAGGAAAAATGCACACGTCCGAGCGATGCCAAGACTAAGCTGCGGTTCTACGATTACCTGTGCCAGCGCGGCTCAGCATGTGATCAACACAGGGGGACATGCGCGCAGGCACGTGCGTGTACGTGCGCGCGCGCGTGTGCGGATGCAAGCACTCGCTGCCAACAAGAAGGAGAAGCTCAGCGTGTGATCAACACAAAGGGGAAATGCGCGCAAGCACGTGCGTGCACGTGCGCGCGCGCGTGTGCGCGGATGCAAGCGCTCGCTGCCAACAAGAAGGAGACGCATTCAGCTCAGCAGGCAAGCTCCTCAAGCCACAGCACGATTTTGCAGTACGACTCGCCTTGAAGACCTGACACGGCTCCCCGTGTCACGACCCTTATCGTCTCTGCGTGTCCCTGAGTCTCGCTAAATACACTGCTGGCAAAGGTGAGCCTGGCGAAGGAACCGACCGTATGCAGTTGTGTACCGTAGTTGTGAGTATCATCTTCGGTGGAGCTCCACATGGGGCGGCGAAGCGCGTGAGGAGTTGTGCCGAAGTGGGCGAGGGGACCGCATGCGAACCCTGCCACAACGGCCTTCGGTGGAACTCCCTATGAGGCCACGAAACGTGTGAGGGGCGTCCCGCAATGGATAGGGGAGACGCATGCGAACCCTGCCACTGGGGGGCCCTGGGTGGAGCTCCATATGGGGTCGCGAAACGTATGAGGGGTGTGCCGTAATGGGCGGGGGAGACGCATGCGAACCCTGCCTCTGGACCGGCGCCCTGGGTGGAGCTACCGATGGGGCCACGAAACGTGTGAGGGGCGTGCCTTAATGGTTGGGGGACGCATGCGAACCCTGCCACTAGGGCCTTGGGAAAACACCTCCCTCCATATAAGGCCACGTGGCGTGTGAGGGGTGTGCCGTAATGGGCGGGGGAAGCGCATGCGAACCCTGCCACTGGGCTCCTGGGTGGAGCTCCCCATGGGGTCACGAAGCGTGTGAAGGGCGTGCCGCAGTGGATGGGGGAGACGCATGCAAACCCTGCCACTGAGCTCCTCGGTGGAGCTCCCTCTGAAGCCACGAAACGTGTGAGGGGTGTGCGGTAGTGGGCGGGGGAGACGCATGCGAACCCTGCCACTGGGGCCCTGGGTGGGTCCCCCCACAGGGGCCACGAAACGCGTGAGGGGTGTGCCGTCATGGGCGGGGGAGACGCCACTAGGTGGCCCTGGGTGGGGCTCCCTGTGGGGTCACGACGCGCGTGAGGGGTGTGCTGCAGTGGGCGGGGGAGACGCAAGCGAACCCTGCCACTGGGGCCCTGGATGGAGCTCTCTCTATCGGACCACAGGAACGTGGGAGGTGCGTGCCGATATGGTCGTGCGGAGGGCAGAGGCAGGGATAAGAGGAGGGAGGGGGTAGATAGACTCTGGAGACTCTGCCTGGTCGCGTAGCGACATCAATCCAATTCCGCCGCAACATACGAGCGGTTGCTTTGTCTCTTGGCCTTCTCAGCTCGACTGAGGACTTTGGTCCAGAACCCTGCAGCGATTGTTCTTAAATATTCCCGTCCTGTGGGGTTGGGGTCCTCAGATTTCTCAGCTAGTTTGCCAAGGCGTTGTGTGGCTATGACCCCGCAGTGTGCACAAAACCATAATTTCAGCCCAAGGTAAAACTTTAAACGATAGGCAATATGAGCAAATCCCCCCCACATGTACCTGCATCCCGAGGGGGGGTCTCATATAAGGAGGGTACGCCGCTGGATCTCCCCAAGGGGGGGGGGGTAGGAACCCCCCCGCCCCCCTTCCCCCCTTCCCCAATCCGTCGTCGGGGACCCCCCCCCGTCCCCCCCTTCCCCGATCCGTCGTCGGGGAACCCCCCCCCCTCCCTTCCTTTCCCGGACCCGTCGTCGGGGACCCCCCCCCCTCCCCCCTTTAAAAAGGGGGGGGGGGGGTCCGACCCCCCCCCCCCTCCTTTCGCCACGCCGCCCTCTGACTCCGGAACCCGACCCCCGCCACCCCTAGTCCTCACCCTAACCCAACCCCCTACTCCTAACCCCAACCACTAAGCCCAGCCCCAAAGAGTACTCACTACTCATTACTCACTACCAACGACTGACTACTCGCTATTCGCTACTCACTTCTCAGTACCCCCTACCCACTACTCACGACTCACTACTCACTATCCACTACTCACTACCCACCACCCACTACTCGCTACTCACTACTCCCTCCTCCCTCCTCCCTCCTCCCTACTCACTACTCACTCCTCACTACCCACTATTCAATACTCACTACTCACAAAGCCCTATCCACTACTCCCTACTCACTACTCACTAACCACTACTCATTACCCACTACCCACTATCCACTACTCAGTACTCTCTACTAACGACTCATTGCCCACAAATCACTACTCACTACCCACTACCCACTACTCGCTACTCCCTACTCCATACACAATACTGACTACACAGTAACCAGTACTCACTACTCGCTACTCCCAAACTCGCTACTCAATATTCACTACTCACTCTCCGCCACTCACTATTCACTACTCACTACTTACTACTCCCTACCCATTGGTCACATAGTCTCTAGTCACCAGTCACAAGTCACTAGTTAATACTCACTACCCACTACCCACTACTCCCCAATCGCTGCTCACTGCCCACTATTCGCTACCCACTTCTTACCACTCACTACTCCCTACTCCCTACTCACTACTCGCTACTCCCTACTCGTTACTCACTAATCACTACCCACTATTCACTACTGACCACTCCCTACTCACTACTCACTACTCACTACGCCCTACTCGCTCCTCACTACTCGCTACTCCCTACTCGCTGCTCACTACTCACTACCCAGTGCCACTACCCACTACTCTCTATTCATCACTACTCACTACTCACTATCACTACGCACTACGTACTACTCAGTACTCACTATTTACTACTCACTACTCGCTACTCCCTACTCGCTACTCACTACTCACTACTCGCTACTCACTACTCACTACTCACTACGCACTACGCACTACTTTCTACTCACTACTCACTACGCATTACGCACCACTACTCACTAATCACTACTCGCCACCCACTACGCACTACAAACTACTCACTACCCACTATTCATTACTCCCTATTCCCTGCTCAGTACTCACTACTCGCTACTCGCTACTCCCTACTCGCCATTCACTACTCACTTATCAGTACACACTACTCACTATTCACTACTCACTACTCCCCACACCCTACCCCCTACTCGCCACTCACTACCCACTACCCAGCACCCAATACTCACTGCTTACTACGAACTAACTCACTACTCACTACTCACCACTCCCTACTCCCAACTCCGTACTCCCTACACGAGGGGGTCCGACCCCTCCCCCCCCTTTCCAGCCCCAAGGGGGGGAGGGGGGGGGAGGGGTTCCGGACCCCCCCCCCTTCAAGGGAGGGGGGGGGGCGGGTTCGGGACCCCCCCCCCCTTAAGGGGGGAAGGGGGGGGGAGGGGTTCCGGACCCCCCCCCCTCCTTCAAGGGAGGGAGGGGGGGGGGTTCTGGACCCCCCCCATTTAAGTGTATTCAGGGAGATCCACTGGCGCACTTTCTCATATAAGTGCCATCGACAGGAATAGCACAGGGGGAGTGAACGCGGGGTGCTGTCTCCTCCAATCTGGGACCCAACACCCCAGGATGCTTGGGAAAACCCAGGTGGAGACACAGCAGGTGGGGACTGCCAGAGTTGACCCATCGAATCGAGCATCGGTCACCCCTCGTGGGTATTATCACCCCCCCTCAACCCTCGTGACCGCACGCGGTTGGCGCATAGATTTAAACTAAAAGCCCGCGGAGAAGGTGGTGGCCCCATTGCCCCACGTAATGCCGAGGGGGATCGCGATGAGGCCGAGAAAGAGGACCACCGTCTGTGCGGACGGATTCCCAGCTGCAAGTGGCGGAACCTCTGCAGACAGACGTGGCGGCGAATACACGAAGCTGCTGGTGGGACCACTACCGTACTTGGATAGGGTGCCGACCGTGCTCCGGCACCGAGCCTGCCACAAAGACTACGTCCAGGCCCAGGGACGCGCCACGGGGGGAGGAGGAGGAGGAGGAGGAGGAGGAGGAGGAGGAGGAGGAGGAGGAGGAGGAGGAGGAGGAGGAGGAGAAGGAGGAGGAGGAGGAGGAAGGAGGAGGAGGAGGAAAAGGAGGAGGAGGGGAGGAGAGAGAGAGGAGGGAGAGAAGAGGAGGAACGGGGGAAGCGCGGGAGGAAGGGATGGAGAAGGATGAGGATAAGGAGGTCAGGTCGGACACTCCTCGAGCCTCGAGGTCTCCCTGGGGAGGAGACTACAAGGGGGGAGGAGGAGGAGGAGGAGGAGGAGGAGGAGGAGGAGGAGGAGGAGGAGGAGGAGAAAGAGGAGGAATCGGAATCGGAATCGGCCCCATCGCGGTGCGAAGGGTGACAGAACGACAACAAGCCAAACCGGAACTACGAGGACTTCGCTCGGTTCGAGGACTTACCCTGATCCTTGGGCCAGAGCCCATCGGAAAACCTCTGAATGTACATCTTGCGAGTGTCGGTCAAAACTTCGTCGCTCGCTTTGGCCAGGGTTGGCCTCAGCTGCTGACTAGCACACGACCCGCACTTCTTACAAATCCAACACTTCAGAGACACATGATAAACCATTCCGTGGGATTCGTGGACCCAGCCCCCCCCCCGATATGTATCTGTCGACCCCTCGGCAGCCTATAAAGAACGGAATCAACAGACACAGGAGGGAAGCACGGGCTCCTTCGCCACAACGTGGTGGCGTCGGCAGAGGAACTGCAAAAGCATCGAACACATCGCGAGGAGGAGGAGAAGGAGGAGGAGCACCGGTGTGTGTGTGTGTGTGGCGTGCGTGCGCGCGTGCGTACGTGCGCGTGTGTGTGTTTGTGTGTGTGCGTGTGTGTGTGTGGTGCGTTTGCTTGTTTGTGTTTGTGGTTGTGTTTGTGCTTGTGTGTGTGCTTGTGTGTGCTTGTACTTGTGCTTGTGCTTGTGCTTGTGATTGTGCTTGTGTTTGCGCTTGCGCTTGCGCTTGTGTGTGCGTGTGCGTGCGTGCGTGCGTGCGCGTGCGCGTGCGCGTGCGCGTGCGCATGTGCGTGTGCGTGTGCGTGTGCGTGTGCGTGTGCGTGTGCGTTTGTGTTTGCGTGTGAGTGTGCGTGTGCGTGTGCGTGTGCGCGTGTGCGTGTGCGTGTGCGTGTGCGTGTGCGTGTGCGTGTGCGTTTGTGTTTGCGTGTGCGTGTGCGTGTGCGTGTGCGTGTGCGTGTGCGCGTGCGCGTGCGCGTGCGCGTGTGCGCGTGCGCGTGTGCGTGTGCGTGTGCGTGGGCGTGTGCGTGTGCGTGTGCGTGTGCGTGTGCGTGTGCGTGTGCGTGTGCGTGTGCGTGTGCGTGTGCGTGTGCGTGTGCGTGTGCGTGTGCGTGCGTGTGGCGCGTGTGGTGCGTGTGGTGCGTGTGGTGCGTGTGGTGCGTGTGCGTGTGCGTGTGCGTGTGCGTGTGCGTGTGGGTGTGTGTGTGTGGGTGTGTGTGAGGTCACTCGTAGCCCCGCGGGCTCAACATCGCAAGAGTTCATGCAGATCTAGATTATCCTGGGGCGAAAGCCGAACCGATCCTCCATCCTACAGTCGCATACCGCTATAGGGATCTGGCCACGGACGAGTGACGAGTGGAGGAGGAGGAAGAAGAGAAGAATGAGGGAGGAGGGAAGAGCCGTGCATCGGGGGTTCTGCCGCCTAGGTCGGCCTCAGAACGTCAACTCCTCGACGCTGGAACATAGGCTCCCTCCTCTCCACTCCCCCTCCTCCTGACTCCTGATTCCTGGTGGCTGCAAGGCTTGCCGAACGTATCCTCCCCCCTGCTAATCCTCTTCCTCCTCCGCCTCCACCTCCGCCTCCACCTCCTCCTCCTCCTCCTCATCCTCCTCCTCCTCGTCCTCCTCCCCATCCTCGTCCTCGTCCTCCTCCTCCTCCTCCTCCTCCGCCGCCGAAGCCTCCCAAATGGGCTCCGAGTAGATGGGGTCGGACGGCGACGTCGGCGCCCGGCGACTTAATGACGCCGCTGACATATAAAAAACATCGGATTCCACATCGGCCCGTATCGCCGATGCATCGGCGCTCCGACCCCACCCAATCAGACCCCATGTCGGAGGTCCTCCCCATTCTTACCATCCCGTCCCCTCGCATCCCCCTGGCCCCGTCCTCATTCCTCACTCTCCTCCCTTTTTCCCCCCTCCCCTCTCTTCTCCCCTCCTGTCTCCTCTCCCTTTTCCCTCTCCCCCATCCCCTCCGCTTTCCCTCCCAATCCGGGGGGGGGAGGCGTGTGTTTCCGGGAACATCAGAAACCATACCCTTCGCGCACGCGCTCAGGTTTTAGCTGGGGCGGCGGCCCAGTGCATGAGCCGTTGCCGCCAGCGCCTGGGGACTCATGGCGGACCGACGCTGGGAAGATGTCGAAACGTACGAACTGCCAGAAAACAACTCAACGTTTGTCATGAGGCCACCGAATGCACTCTCGGGCGGTCACCTCGAGCGGGGCGCCGTCGACGTGCCAGGACTGCCGCTCCCTGGCATAGCTCGATGCCTCCGTCATGCGCCTTCCTACTTTGGCCAGGTGGAAATTCGCCGATCGCTTGGGCTGCCCTCGGCGCGTGAGATTGCACACACACACACACACACACACACACACACACACACACACACACACACACACACACACACACACACACACACACACACACACATATATATATATATAGTGCACGCAAAGAGCCGCGCCCTGACGGCACATTGGCAAGATCTGGCTGGAGTCGCGTGCGAACCGGCGCGCACGAAGGTGCGAAAGAATTGCGACTGCTAAAATTCGGGCGACGGAACGTGGCCACGGGCGATGTTGCAAGTGTCTGTCCCGTGCCTGTGTTCGGGGCAGCTGGCGCGGCTGACGAGAGGGAAAGATGTGGGCACGCGCAGACGCTGCCGGGGACCCCTGGGGCATCCTGGGTTGAAGGTTCCGCGCGTGGTTATCCTGGCGCCGAGAGCCCAATCCCCTTGCCCGGCGCCGCCCGCCGCCTGGGGAACGGCCCTGTCCGAACCTCAGACGCCGACAGACCGAGCCCGCCCGTGGTCACCAGAACACACGAATGTACTGGAAAACTCGAATGACTACTGATCGCGGACGCAGGTGGTCACTCGAAATCCGCCGGCACTGCCGCCAAAAGACATGACTACTGATTGGGGGGCCTTGGCCCGAAAAGTTAAAGGCTCTGTCAGGGTCCCGGCTCGCGGGCCGCACCCTTGCCCGGGGGGTCCACGCCGGGGGCGGCCGGGCTTCCCGAAGAGAGGGGCTCTTGGAAGTGCATTCCTCTGCCGGCGATCCCCGGCGGCGCCATGGCAACCGCCCTTCCCAGCCGCGTGGATTGTGTCAACGATGGTTGCCGCGTTTCTGTTCCGGGACGACGCCGACATTCACTTCCATGGTCGAATCATTTCGCCTGATAAAGCGGCACATTGCCTCGGGGACCAACCGTGGTACCCGTTGTTCCAAAGTTGCGCGAGGGATAGCTGCGCGGCGCGTCAGGCGGCGGGGCGAAGGGAAGAAACGAGGGGAAGAGAGGGAGACGAGAGGGAGGCCAATCACACATCGCCACAATATTATGCAACTGCCGAGTTCCACTCCGCATCGTCTTGAAATCGATGTTGGGGCGCATCAGAACTGCCCGCGGCCACTTCCACAACATGCGAATGTAAGTCCGATGTCCACTGCAAGCGAGGGCGTCCTTGAGACCGGGCGCTGCCCCGGGATTTTGGTAGGAATTCTTGGCAATGTCCACTCTGGAAGACAAGTGCTCAGGGGAGGCTCCCGTTGCTTTCCTGGGCTAGTTTTCCACGGAACCGAAGCTGCTTTTCAAGGGGGTCAAACGATAACCGCCGAGTCGAGGCAATTTGCCTTAACACCTCGTTGCTGACTCTGGACACGCAAGCAGGCAATAGTTCGGATATCTTGCACAGGCATTGCGTTTGGGAGCTGGCGAGTCTGTCCCTGTCCGCCTTCAGGAGCACGCAGGACACCAGGCCACAAAAAAGCTTCGGAAATACAAAGGACACCAAGGTCCGTTGCTAATGCTTCGGAGTGCTGAGATTCGCGCGATTCCAAAGTGTGCACAGCGCTTGAAAAGCTCCTCTTGCCTCTCCCAGCCGCCGCGCAAGCTCTGCGCTTACCGACCTCCCCAAATACACCGCGTGGTCTCTACACTGAATTGCTCTACCACCGGGTCGCCCTGAAAAGCATCGCTTTGCCGTCGTTCAACTGCGACGTGTTGCAAATGCTTCCGAAGCACAGCTTTGTTTCGCGCCACCAGCGCAGCATCGTCTGCGTAGGGCGCTTTCTGTTACCCCGCACGGCTTCGTGATAATACATTGCGAGAGTTTGGGTGGCCTTCTCAGCATCGGCTGACAAGTAGGTCCATGTATTATTGTAAAGCAGCCGCGTGTCACGATTAATGGAGTTGGCCACTTTTGCGGCCAACTGCACGACACGACAATGTCAGCATCGTCGACAGCACCCAATCCTTTCCGAATGCCTGCAAGAACTTTCTCTCTCTCTCTCTCTCTCTCTCTCTCCCGAACAGGCACGCCATGCCTCCCAGCCAAGAGTCACGCCAGTCATGGAGTACAAGGCCTTGCTTTCAGCCACGCCCATGATCTGAACGAAGCTGGAGCCTTCACCGACCGTGGACAGGAAGTCCTTCTTCGCATCAGCCTTGTCGAACGATGCCAACAGTGACTTCCCTTTTTCAGGAGTATCCTCCTGTGACAGGAGTCGCGTCCTTGTAACTGGCGCCCCAAGTGCTGCGCCAAAGTGCGAGGCCTAGGCATCATGCAACTCCAGCTGAGGCTTGACCACAACATTGCAGTCTGAGCTTGCAAGCATTCAGAAGAACTACCACCCATGTTGCCAACACCGCTTTCCTCCACATCCACTGCTGTTTCGAGGTCGTCAGCGGTCAGCGCGTCAACATCGCAGGAACTCACCAATCAAAAGAAACATCCAAGAAGATGAACCGTTAATGTGGGCAATGCTCGCAATCCGTGCGGCGTCAACGCCCCTGCGAATTGCAAGCAAGGACGCCAAGCAAAAAACGACTGCCATCCTCGACGCTGAAGAAACCCAACAGCGGGGGTAGACTTCGTCTGTTTTCGAAGACTGATTTGGGCAAACATGGATGCGGCTGCGAAGAAAAATACACAATGTAGAAGGTTGAGTCGGCTAGAGACAGGGGAACGTAATCAAGTACGGATGAACACGGAGGGTGGGAGGATGGACGGGGGAGGGAAATGGGGTTGAGAAAGGATGCGGGAATGAGGAGACTGGGGAAGAGGAGGAAGGAAGGTGGACACCTTTGGGGACCTTCTGCTGAACCGGGAGGGGAGACGACGACGTAGACAACACGAGAGAGATGATGGGGGAAGGAGAGAGGGGAGGAGATCTAAGAGAAGATTGAGGAGGAGATCGAGGAGGGAGACGGTGAGGAGAGGAGGGGAGGAGGGGGGGGGGACGGCGAGAGGCGGCGGGGGAGGAGGGAACCGCAGCAACAAGCACGCGGGGCTCCCACCAGCCGGCGGTGGCCCTCCGCCGCCCCCGGCCCGCGCCCGCGGCAACGCGCACCCCCCCTGGGCGCCTGCGGAATCCAGCTCGGGGTAGCTCAGGGTCTCCAGCTTCCGCAGCAGCGCCTGCCGCGGCTTCAACAGCACGCGGGGGAGGAGGAAGGAGTGGAGATTGGCGGCGCGCACAAGGGTGCGGAGGGAGGGGGGAGGCCTTCCTAGAAGGAAGCTGCTTCTTAGAAGGCGCCGGCCTTACATCTATAGATAAGGCGCGCGCCTTCTAAGAAGCAGGGGTGTTTCTAAGAAACCCTCCCCCCTGCCCCCACCCCCCTCTGCGCGTGGGTGAAGAGGGGAGGGGAGGCAATCCGGGCGGAATGTCCGTCCGGGCGCCGGGGCTACCAGCGCCTGCCGCGCAGATCTCATGTGGCGGGGGGCACCCTCTGTGCGAGCGTGGGGAGGGGCATCATTTGCCCTGGCGCGGTCCGTGAGGACCCCGACATGGGAGCAAAAAGCGAGCCTTTGGCCATCAGAGCGTGGCGCGCTACGTCTGCACACCCAGACAGACAGCGTGGGCTGCACACGCGTTCTGGCATGCGTGATCTGGCGCCTACGGCAGAGACGGCGCCACCTTGGGGCAACCCCCGCAACGGCCACGCGCCAGGGTTACGGAGAAGTTGCCAGCTGTTACAGGTTAGCACTGGCGTTCGATCGGTAAAGATCGAAGCCCGCCTGGGAACAAGCCCCGAAGCGTGCAGGCGATCGGGCCCGACGAAGGTCGATCCAGGCGGTTTTTTTTGTCTGGGATTTGTCAAGACCAAGTTCTGACCGTTCCTCGGCACCACGCAGCTTATGACCAAATCTGGTGGCACACTGATACATCGCCGTGATGACGGCAGTGCGGGCAGTCCCGCGAACGGGGGCGGCCGATTGACTGACAGCCGTGAAGCGCCCCGTGGCAAGCCTCTGCTCCGTGGCCCGGATTTCTTCATCCTGGTATTGTCAAGTCGTGATTCGTAACGAGCCAGGCGCGCAATTCACACAGTGGTCGTCCTGCTCAGGCGAATCGCGGGGGAGGCCCGCTGGATAGAAACGCGCCGCGGCGGCGCCGGCGAATAGCGCCGACGACCAGCCGCCAACGAGAGGGCGACAGGCGCAACAACGCCTCCGCTACAGCGGGGCGCCGGTGAAAAACGTAGCCACAGACTGGGGGGTGGGGTGGGGCGGGAGGGGAAGGCAACAAGACCGTCGCCGGTGCTACCGTCGCCCTCCCCGCCGACTCATCGTTTCCCTGTTTCGCAGTCGGGCGGCGGCCATTCTGGAAAACGCAGGCCAGACAAAGCCAAGGCTTCAACGAAGCCTCGAGCCTCGAGCGGCGCACGCTCGAAAGTCCAATGTCGCGGGCACCGCGCGCCGCAGGGCCCACGAACAAACGAAGTCGCAATGCACACTCAGACATGCACTGCGCTGCTTTCCGCGGGCGCGCTCCCCCTCGGAGGCGTCGCGTTGTTCGTGCCGTTAGTCCTCATCCGCGGCGCGGTGGCACCCCGAGCTCTCCGAGCCCTGGCGCGCGTGGTTGAAAGATACCACCAGCCCTCTGGGCGTAGGCCGTTTCACGAGTTTTGTCATCTCTCCCCCTCCGTCCCCTGCTCGGGGGAGTGGCTTACCCCTCCTTCTCCCTGCCCTCTCCCCTGGCCCTGGGAAGGGGGGCGATTATTTAGAGTTTCAAGATGGGCCCAAGATGGTTCCCACAGGGCCCTCGGCAGCCCAAGACGGGTTCCAAGATGGCTGAAGGTAGCCGAAGATGGTCCATTACATCTTCCTGCATACCTCCAATTGGACCCAACCCCAAGACAGCTCCAAGTGTTTTTCGAAACTCCCCTCCAAGAGGCCGAAATCCTTCAAGCACCGAGGGAACATCAATGTTGATGCCTTCATTTTCTCGTCGACGATTGACTTCTGGGGCCTCAAGATGGCCCAGTAGAGCCCCAAAAGGGGCTGAAGAGCGCTCCAAAACTGCCCCAAGAGCCAAGAGCGCAAGACGCCCAAGAGCGGCCCCAGAGGGCCTCCAGGGCCAAGAAGAGCCCCAAGAAGGCCCCACAAGTGCACCAAGAGGCCCCACGGGGACCCGAAGAGAGCCCCTAAGATGGCTTCGATCGTCCTCCAATAACTTCTCACAACAACATCTGTCCCAAGCCCGACTTCGCATCCTCCTCCTCCTCCTCCTCTTCCTCCTCCTCTTCCTGTTTTTAGTGTTCCTCTTCCTCCTCCTCCTTTCCTCCTCCTCCTCCTCCTGCCCCAAGATGGTCCCAGGAGGTCGAGCATGGCTCAAGATGGGGATGACTCAAGATAGCCCCCGACAGCCTCCAGCCGAGCATGGCTGAAGATAGCCTCAAAGAGGCCTCAAGAAAGCCTCCGATCGTGTCAGGATGGGCTGGTGGGGATATGCGAAGCGTCAACAATTAGTTTCGCGCTCCGTCGTGCAGATTTGCGTTTTTAGGATCGGCGTTTTGCTCCCGTCGTGCAGAAAGGCGCTCTCGCCCCAGCGCGGGCGACAGTTATGGGTCCGAATCCTTCCCCATCGCTATCGCCCAGCTCCTTCCCCCTCCCCCCGCCTTCCCCTGGTCGTCCTGCTCTTTTCCCGTTCCTCCCACTCCTGCTCCTGCTGTTCCTCCTCGCCCTCCTTCTTCCTCATCCTCTTCCCCCTCCCCCCGCTCCTCCCCCGCTCGTCCGCCACCTCCTCCTCCACTGCGTACGCAACTCCGCGCTAACCCGACAAAAGGTCCTTTGAGGGGTTCCAGGTCCGCTCTGGCACCCGTCAGGGGATACAGACATGAGCAGCGCAATGGGAAGGGATGGGTGGGAGGGCTACGAAGTCAGAGTTGGCGCGAACGCACCTAGCTTGCCCACCTCCCTCTCTCCCACCCGAGGTGAGAGGCTGGGAGGTGGGCAAGCTAGGGAGGGGGAGGAGGAGCGGGAGAGGGCCGTGGGCCACCTCCTTCTCCCCCGCTGCTCCCTCCCTTCTCCCCTTCCCCCCCCTCCCCCCCCCCTCCACAGTGACACTGCCTGACTCTCTTGCCCGACTCTCTTGCCTGAAAACTGCGCTTCCCTCTTGCCTGACTCTGCACAGCGGATATCCCGCCCTTTTCGCGCATCGCTGCTTAACACACAGACACACACACACACACGTGTGTAAACTTCCATATGTCTGAGGTGCTTCCTCATTATGATGGGCCTGTTTTCCACCACCACCACCACCATAAGTTGGAGGGGGGGAGGAGGTGGAGGATGAGGAGGAGGAGGCGGAGGAGGACCCCCTCCCCCCTCCAACTTATGGTGGTGGTGGTGGGAAACAGGCTCATCACATCCGATCATTGCTGGTCATTCAAAATGAGGTTCCTGCTGCAGCGCTGGTCGCATGTCCGCGCCTGCGGCCCCTCAGGATCGTGCTCCCGCTGGGAGCACTGGCATCACTTCCGTGCTCCTGTCGTTCCATGTCGTGCTCCCGTTGCAGCGCTGGTCGCATTCCCGCGCCCTCGGTCCTGTTAAACGTGGCTTCTGATGCGACAGCGGCTTCAAATTCGTGTCCTGGATGCACCGTCCATGCAGCCGGGGTATGCAACGCGTTGCTACGTAATGTACCGTTAATTATGCGAGTCCATGCCTCGCTCTGCAATGCTGTGATATGCGATGCTAACCTGCGCAACACCATACAATGCTATATATGTAATAGTCCCGTGCCATGCTATGGTATGCCATGCTATGCTCTGTACCGCAATGCGATGCCACGCTTGAACTTCAATGCTATGATATGCGATGCTTGAGTACGCACTGCCACGCCATGATATGCTATGCTACGCTCTGACGTGCTCCCCTACGCCGTGCTATGCCATGTTATGCATCGCGTATTCCTTGGGGGTCATTGCCCTCTTCGACACCCGACTGCGAATAAAGAAAGGCTCGATGCGACAGTAACGGATGGGGGGGAGGGGTTGAACGCCAGATATGACGCAAGCGCACCTAGCCTGACCTTGCCCGTTGTCCATCCCCGGCTCCTGCCTCCTCTTCCTCCCCATCCCTCTCCTCCTCCCCCCCCTCCTGTTGCCTTTCCCTCCGCCGCCCCCCCTCCCTCCTCCTCCTCCTCCTCCTCCTCCTCCTCCTCCTCCTCCTCCTCCTCCTCCTCCCTCCCTCCTCCTCCTCCTCCTCCTCCTCCTCCTCCTCCTCCTCCTCCTCCCTCCTCTCCTCCTCCTCCTCCTCCTCCTCCCTCCTCCTCCTCCTCCTCCTCCTCCTCCTCCTCCTCCCTCCTCCTCCTCCTCCTCCTCCTCCTCCTCCTCCTCCTCCTCCTCCTCCTCCTCCTCCTCCTCTTCCTCCCCCTCCCCCTGCCCTCCCCTCCCCTCCCTCCCCGAGCCACCCCTCCCCCACCGCCCCCACACCTCCCGGGCCCCTGCGGCACGGCCCGCCTTCGGCAGACCCTGGTCCACGCCCATTCCCCCCCCCCTCCGAGCGCCCGGGAGGCGCCGCCCCGCCGCCGCGGGCGCTCCCGGCCCCGCCCCTCGCGGCGCCGCGGCGCGCAGGAGCGGCGGCGCCCTCCGGCGGGCGCCCCCTCCGGCGGTGGCCCTGCGGCCCCCAGGGCGGAAGTCCGCGAATCGCCGCGCCCCGCCCTCCTCCAACCCCCCCCCCCCTTCCCCGCCCCCAACATCAAGTCGGGCCTGCCCCCGTACAGAGGGATTTGGGACGAAGAATGAAACATACTCTAGAAAGTACTCCGAATGCCCAAAAATCGTAAAAAAAAATAGTCCCCAGACTATTTTTTGACTATAGTTGAATATAACCCCCTGTAGAGGGACAGGCCCGACTTAACCCTGGCCTCCCTGTTTGTCTCGCTCTGCCCCTGCCTCCCGCCCTCCCTACGTTCCCCCTCCTGTTCCATCGTCCCTCCTCCTCCTCCTCCTCCTCCTCCTCCTACTCCTCCTTCATCTCCCCCTCCTCCTCCTCCTCCTCCTCCTCCTCCTTCATCTCCCTCCTCCTCCTCCTCCCCCCCCCCGTCTTCCTCTTCGAGCGCGGGCCGCAGGTCCTCTTGTTCGTCAGAGCGCAGCCATCCTTCGCCAAGGGACGTTGTCCCTGTGGGGGTGATCGAACTACTTTGGACGCCCGAAATGGGCACGGAAAGAATGGGTACAATGCCCAACAACAAATGCTGTCCCAACCCAACAGCGGCCGCTGTTGGGCAGGCGGCCTCCTGTCTCGAATGGGCACAAGCCGCGGCGGCGCGGACAGCGAGTCCTGTTGTAATGAGCAGGAACTCCTGTTGGGCATTGTGCCCATTCTTTCCGTACCCATTTCGGGCGTCCCTACTATGCCCATTAAAAAAAAAAACAGCGAGGGGGACCACGAGGCGGAGAAGCCCCTCCAAGGGGGGCGGAGTACCCCTGTCCTTCGGTGGCCCCTGGGTGTAGGGGACCCCAGGACTCCTGGGCAACGGCGACGATGAAGAGGCCCTGGGACACACAAAGAAATACACCCAAATACCAGGATTTCCCATATTTTCATGTATGTTCTGGTTTTTTTGTGTTCCCCCCCACTTCCCATATTTCCCCATATTTTCTGAGAAATCGACCATTAACTGAGTCTGTGTGTTTTCCCCTCCTGAGACGAAGCCGCCGCAGCTCCATCGATGGATGCTGAAGCGGCAGCCGAACGGCACAGAACAGGCCAATTACAGCGCGCGAGGCCGGCGCCCACCCCTCGACATGCGAGGGGGAGGGGGGCGACGATGCGGCGACGACACTGCGACTCCTTGACCCGAAGGGACGCACGGAGGATGAGGTAGAGAAGACATTGGGCACTGCAGGGTTGAACGCGGCGGCAGGCCAGCGGGGGAAGAGACTGCAACGCTGCAAAGCCTGACGCCTGGCACCGGTTCACGAGTGCAACGCTCCGGCAGAACGAGTGCAACGCCTGACGCCTGAAGCCACTGCACGGTAGAACGAGTGCAACGCTCCGAAGCCTGACGCCTGGCACCGGTTACGTAGGGCGGGCAGAGTGTTCAGCGGCCGCCCCGGGCCAACGCCAGCGGCGCATGGCGTCGACTAGTAGAGCCCGCCCCCACCCACCCCCACTCCCAATCTTTCCCATAGGCGTGAAAAGTCCCCTCCTGCCGAAGCCCGCTCCGGCAGAATCGCTCTGGCAGAGACCGCTCCGGCAGAGACCGCTCTGGCAGAACCCCGCTGCGGCAAAACCGTTCCGACAGAAACCCGCTTCGGCAGAGACCGCTCCGGCAGAAGCTCGCTCCGGCAGAAACCCGTTCCGGCAAAGACCGCTCCTACATAAGCCGCTCCGGCAGAAGCCCGCTCTGGCAGACATCCGCTACGTCAGAAGCCTGCCTCGGCAGACTCGTTTCTTCTTGCTACTTTTTGCCGCTGGTCTCCCTCCTGCTACTAGCCCACGCTCCACACCCTGCTTCTCCTCCTCCTACTCCTCCTCCTCCTCCTCCCGCCCTCCATCCCTCGTCCCTGCAGCTTCCCCTCATCCCTCATACCGCCCTCAACCCTACCTACCTTCCACAGCGGGACCCAGTAATCCGCAGCCTCCACAGGCTCCGTCACCAACGCACACACCCAGTATTTCACAGCCTCCGTCTCCAAGAGACACCCCAATACTCCACAGCCTCCGCCTCCAAGGCGGCTTCCTTAGGAAATGCATTAAAAAAACCAGCGCACGCCTGCCGCCCTCCGCCCACCCAGCCTGTCCCACCCGCCTCATCCAACACCGCACCTGGTACTCCACAATTACTCTTCATCTTCCGTCTCCGACACATACCCGTATCAAAGGCGATTTCCTCACGAGTTCTTTTAACACAAGCAGTTCAAACAGACACATAAAAAAACAGCCTACCGCCCGCCGCCGCCGCCCGCCGCCCGCCCCGCCGCCCGCCGCCGCCGCTCACCGCCCGCCAATGCTCCACATCCTCCGTCTCCAAAGGAACACCCGAAACTCCTCAGCACCCAGTACTCCACAGTACTCCACAGTACTCCTCTGAACAAGCGACCCAGTACCCCATAGCCTCCGTCTCCAGCACGCACCCCACTGCTCAACAGCCTCCGTCTCAAATTCGGCGTCCTTAGGAAGTGCATTAAACGCCCGGGCCCACCCGCCCGCCTCTCCAAAACAACAACAAGGAGTACTCCACAACCTCAGTCGCCTCCATAATAACACCCAGTACTCCGCGGCTTCTGTCTTCTACACAAGACCCTCTGCTCCATATCCCCCGTCTCCAACGCACACCCCAATGCTCAGCAGGCTCTGTCTTCAAGGCGGCTCCCCCAGGAATTGCATAGAAAACCCGAGCTGGCCCGCCGCCCGCCGCCCGCCCCGCCCGCCTTTCCAACACAGCACCTGTAACTCCACAGCCTCCGCCTCGAAAAGAGCGCCCGATACTCCATGACCTCCGTCACCAACGCACACCCAGGTGCACCACGACCTCCGCTTCCCGAGCGGCGGCTCTAGCTGTACAGCATAAAAACGCGAGCCCTCCCGTCGCCCGTTGCGGCTGCCCGCCGCCCGCCGCGCCCGCTCCCGCCACGCCCCGCTCCTGTGCTGCTCCACAGGCCTCCATCTCCAGTGCTCTGCAGCCTCAGCCTCCAACACACACCCCAGCACTCCACAGCCTCCGTCTCCAAGGCAACTTCTGCAGTTGCACGAAAGCCCAAACCCGCCCGCCGCCCACCGCCCGCCCCGCCCGCTTCTCAGACATAACACACACACAATTATCCACGGCCTCCGTCGCCAAAACAACACACGGGACTCCACGGCCTCCGCGTCGAACACACAGAGAGAGAGAGAGAGACACACACCACACACACACACACACAAACACACACATACATACATACACACACGCCTCCATCTCCAACACAACACAACTGGACCTCGCAGACTCGTCTCCAGCACACAAGGTGAGCGGGTTTACTGGTGAACGGGATCTCGCGCCAGCGGGCTTCTGGGCGAGTGGTCTCTGGGCGAGCGGGATCCTGGGCGAGCTGTCTCCTCCTCCTCCTCCTCCTCCTCCTCCTCCTCCTCCCCTGCCCCTCCCTCCTCCTCCTCCTCCTCCTCCTCCTCCTCCTCCTCCTCCTCCTCCTCCTCCTCCTCCTCCTCCGCGAGCAGTTCCAGGCGAGCGGGTGCCCTTCCAGGGGTGGCGGGCGCCCGGGCGAGCAGTCTCCGTGCGAGCGGGTCTCTATCTCATAGGCGCAGAGCCACCGACTGGCAAGGCGCTCTCCAAGAGGCTGCGCCCAAGGAGGTTCGGAAGGCTGGCGCGTGAAAGCGGGCTGCGCAGAAGGCGGTGGCTGAGGCCGGCGGCGCAAGAGGTGGCTGCATTGGACAAGCGCAGTCTGCTGGCGCGGCTGCTGGCCGCGGCCGCCGTTGCTCAGATGGGGATGTCGTGAGGGCCTCTCCCGGCCAGCCCATGGGGCTCCCCGTCCCGCCCAGGGCACCCAGAGCCCGCCGAGGCCGGCTGAGGGTACCCGATGGCGGGGCGGGAAGCCGGTTCGAGGGATGTTCGCCGGCTGCGGGGGGCTTCGAGAGAGCCGCGCCGCGGCGGCGGCCGGCGGCAACGCCTCTGGGCATCCTCCCCTCTCGGCTGGGCGGCAGGCATGGGAAGGTGAAGGGCGCGAGAGGCGCGGCGGCGGCGTGGCAGTTGGCCGCGGCCGCCCTGGTCCCAGCCAGGACGGCCGACGGCGAGTTTCCCCCCCCCCGTCCCCACCAGCATCGCACATCCCCCCGCTCCGCCGCGAGAGGTGGGCGATGGTTCATGGGGCGTGCAGCGGGCGGGCACTGAGGGCGAGTGGGCGGCCAGGAGGGAGGCTCGCCATCGCTCGGACGTCCATTCCCTGTGTTTTTTTCGGTTTCGTGCGTGGTTTTTTCGCCGAATGATCAAGGATGCTCCTCGATGGTCCTCGCCGAAGGAAAAATGCACACGTCCAAGCGATGCCAAGGACGCTCGGGAGATCGTGCCAATGATTACACACGGTGTCGTCCTGACGCTTGGCCCCAGGTGTCGCTGCCTCTGCGGCCCCGACGGCCGCCAGGGCGATGGCGAGAGGAGGCGCTTCCAGGTGGCAGGCCGAGTCGCCCAAGGAAAGTCGCTGGACTGTCCTGGCCAGTCGGAACGAAGTCCATGAGAGTGAAGGGGTGGTGAACGGGTGCCCGCCGTGGAGGTAGGGGTGGACGAGATGCTGCCGCGCTGGAGGTCGAGGAGCCGAGGCGTGGCCCGCTGCTGCCCCTGTCGGCGACAGCGAGTGCGGCAAACTTGGAGAAGCAGAGCGCCGCGATGTGGGCGCGTGGCATAGGAGCAGTTGGACGCTGGCGCGCCCGTCGTGGTCGGGGCAAAATTGGAGGCGTGGTGGTGGCGCAGAGGGCACCCCCACGGCAGACTCTGTCGAAGGCTTGGGAGGGTGGTGCGCGCCTCGCTGCCTTGGGGGAGGTTGCGAGCAATGCGCATGAAGTGGCGCCTCTGCGAGGCAGGCCTGCGCCGCGGGCCTGCTCTCTGCGTGGTGGGCGGGATCGGAAGCTGACGACGCCACCAGAATTGCGGGGCGCTGAACCGCCGCTGTTTCGCTGGCGTCGCGTGGTAAAACCCCCAGCTGGCAGTTCGCCTGCGCGGAGGTAGGTGGCGTATGCACGTCGTGCTGGCAGTGGGCTGCGCGTTCGCCGTGGTGGTGCCGATCAGGTAGTCGTAGTCGGGGCGCTGCCTCCCCCCGCCCTCGCTGCGTCGTCGCCGGCGCCCGTCTCGGCGCCGAGGATGCGGTGGCGAGGGTCGAGCCCGTGGTCCGCGATGGCGCAGTCGATGCGCGAGATCTGGGTCCTGGGGCCTGTCGCGGTCGAAGCCTTCCCGCTCGCGCGGTAGGATGCCTGGCGGGTTGCCCCCGAGGTGTCTGCGGTGAGAGGCGGGCAGGACCCATGGCGTAGCTGCTGGTGTGGTGGCTTGCTGTGTTTGGTCGGTCGCAGACTGCGCGTCGCTGCTGCAGTCTGATCCCGTCGGCGCGTTGGTGGAGGTAGGCTTTGGCATGATGCTCGACGCTGCAGTGTTTGGTGGTGTTACTGTCGGCCGCATTGGCGGCGGCGGCTTGGCGGTCGGATTTCGGTGTACTCCAGAAGGTTGTTCAGCTGGAGGACCAGGATCATGCTCCTGGCGATGCTCTCCTGGATGTCGGCGGTCGCGAAGGGCGTCGGGATGCCCCTCAGGATGTAGGCGGTGCTTGTTCTCAAGTAGTTCGCTACCTCTTCGAAGGCGGCCTGCGTCACAACGGCGGGGTCATTGGCGCCGGTGCGGGCCTGGCTGGCTTCGGTCATCCTGCGGGGGCTGCTCTGCATGATGCGGTGTTTGTCCGTCTTGAAAAGGACATGATCCGGTGGCCTAGTGGAGGTCACCGACCAAACTCACGATGTTGCCGATGACGTTGTGCTCCATGCCGTGCTCGAGTCCTGAAATTGGCCTTCTCCATGTACCGTTTGCACGGCCGCTTGTGCTTTGCCGTCTCCGGCAGGGTTCTACTCAGTGGGGGCTTGCTGGGGACGTGGATGGAGGCAAGCGCCTGTGGGCGGTGCCTCGATGCGAATCGGTTCTGGGCCAGCTCTGGTCGGGGACTTCGGCTTGGGTTTGGGCAGGTTGGTTGGCGTGGGCTTGGAGGGGATGGAAGTTGCAGGTCACGGCTGTCCGAGTTGCCTGCTGTCGCTCAATAGCGTTAGGTCGGGCCTGTCCCCCTACAGGGGGGAAATAGTCCCCTGACTATATTTTGACTATTTCTAAATATTCCCCCTGTAGAGGGACAGGCCCGACTTAACAATAGCTCTGCGATGTCGGTCTCTGTGGCGTCGCGGTCTGCTAGCTGGCTCGGTCGAGCGTCGGCTGATGCTGATGCATCTGTGCTGGAGGTCTGCCGGTGACAGGGCTGAGGTGAGGGGCACTGCGAAGCGCACCCCCTCAACTGTTGAGCGCGGTCGCCCTTCGTGATGCTGCGTCGGCAGAGGGGGGAATGCGGTCTGGTCTGTGGTGGGGGTCGCCCGTTTGCAATTGTGCTGCCTTTCTAGGCGTGCGCACGATTGTCTGCGGGGTCGTGTGGTGGCTCGTGGTGCCGTAGATTGGGTAATTCTGCGCTGTAGCATGCACTGGCGTCGGCGGTGCCGCCGTGAGATGTTGGGCTGGCTGTGGTTATTATGGATACACAGAGATTGGCGGTCGGAGTAGGTCAATGAGGGCGGCGCGGTCGCGTTGCGGCTGCTCGTCTTGCTGGTAGGTAGTTGCGTTCAGGCCCATCATGCCTGAGGCGCTCAACATGCCTGGCGTGAGGGTCGTGGGCATGGGCGTTGGCGTGTGGGTAGGTTCGTGTGGTGTGCCCTGTGGCGTTGTGAAGATCGCGTTCTGGACCTCGCTGGTGGTCCTGATGGTGCCCCCGAGGTTGCATGAGTGCTGGCCCTGTCATGAGCTCGTCCAGGCACTGCAGGACGTCGTTGCTCTCCTGGAAGTAGCGCGGGAACCTCAGCATGTTCAGGATGCGCAGTTGGCGGTGGATGCCGGTGAGCCTACGAAAGTCCCGAGGACGCTGAGGCCGCTGTGGACGCATGTGGTGGCTGGTGAAGGCGGGCGCGGTTTGGGCGGCGGTGGCGGCTGCCTGTGGGTGGTGGGCGCGATCGGGGCGTGGAGAACGATGGTGTTCTTCCCGTTGTGGTAGAACTCCCCGCTGGAGGCAGACAGTGACTGCTTCCAATATTCGATCGACAGGTCGCTGCCCGGGTCCTCCCATGTCGCTTCCTGCAGGTTGAAGTAGAAGACCTGGTCCGTCCAATTGGTCGGGCCCGAGGTGAGGTTGTTGTGGTACCGATGGCCGTGGGCAAGGCACTTGGGATCTGGTGGAAGGGCGTGCGTCGGGCCTTCCCCATCTCCCTGAGCCGGTGTGTGGACTGGTTTGCTGGTGGTATCACGGGGGGAGGAGGAGGAGGAGGAGGAGGAGGAGGAGGAGGAAGAGGAGGAGGAGGAGGAGGAGGAGGAGGAGGAGGAGGATTTTTTAAACATCAACAACCACTGACACCAGCAAGACTGGACTGTAATGATTTAAAACAAGTTTTAAATCAGCCGTACAGGATGAGGTCTTGAATACCTTCAGGGTATACCCTCAGTGTGGAACTGTAACTGGGGTAGAGCCCTTTTAGCACGCGGCGCCACAGACATCTCTTCTGAGTTGTCATCTTCTGGTCACACCTACCGCCGAAATCGGACTTCTTGAGAAACCCGTGACCAACATGGCAAGCACACCGCGTGCAGATATGCAAAACATAGCCATCGTCACACGGCAGGCCGACAACAAAGTGACCATTCCGTTCCATCTCAGCGAAATCCCAATCACCGCACACTCCCGAACAACCGCACGAGGGTGGGCGGAGCTGAGACCGAGAGGCCTTGAGACAGATACGGCATCTCCATCTGCCAGCCACGAATTCCCAGTCATGCTGGGGGCGGTCAGGATGCCCTTCACGGGCCCGCCTCCCTGGGGCGACAAACTCCACATCTTTCAAATCGAGCCTGGGCCACGCAAAGAGCAGCGCAGCCGCAAGCTTGCACACAGTCTGCGCGACAATTAAAAGATTGTCCAGAGCCTGCACCTGATCTGGGGAGGGTACTTCGTGCAGGCAGACACCGGCCTTCGCTGCCTCATCAGCCTGGAAGTTCCCTCTGCGGAGCTGCATTTCCTCCTCGGGCACACCCTCTTCCTCGAGGGATAGGTGTGCTTTGACTTTCCTCACAGACTGTATATAGTGAGACACTCTCTGACCGTGCAACAATCGCCCAGCATAGGGCCGCTGGTAATGTAACTGGTCACCCAGGGGTCGATTAGCCTGGACGTAAACATTGGCACAATCAGTATACATATCACACTGGCCTTCAACAACCTGGCTAGAGCACCCAAAAGCAGCAAACTCTCCAGCCTGGGAAGTTTGGGGAAGGCCAGCATAAACGGTGCCGGAAACCCGTCCCAGGAACCTAAAAGCCCGATCGAAAATCGCAAGACCCCAGGCCGCCCTGTTGAGTTCTGGCACAATACACCTGGTACAGCTCCCGTCCAGGAAAAGCTCACCCATCACCAACTGCTCCTCCTCCTTGACATCCTCCTCCCATTGCCACAAGGTCTTGCACTCCTTGTCGGGTCGGGGCCAGTAGTCACCTGGGTGCGGGAAGATGCCTCGGGTGAGTAGGAGAAGATCTTGCGGGTTTCCTTCGTCCATAGAGTCCACAAGCTCCTGGCACTTCTTCGTTACTATCTCAGCTCGCTCCTCGGCGCAAGCCGTGCAATGCCACAATCTGCGCAGCGACGCGTCTGGTCCTTGACCGCACAACGGGCACTCGACGGATTCAAGCTGATATCCAAGGCAGCGAGCTCTGACTCAAGTCCAGCTGGCATCACAACCGATAACTCTGATGGCCGCTTTGCCAGACGGTGAAACCTTGCTCGAGTGAAGTGAACGCTTGAGCACATCGCAACATAGCCTCGGGACCTCCAGGCATGATTTTTGGGCAGCAGCCCGCTCCAGACTCCGAAGCACAGCATGACGCAACAAAACCTTCAAAAGCCCCGGGCCGACCTCCGTTTAAACCAGCTTCTCCCCGAAATCATTTTCCAGAGTGGCCCAATCTATGAACTTCCACTGGATTCTCTGTAGGCACATGTACATGGTCGAGAACGGACCCGTGACCTCGCGCCAAGTAGAAGGCGGCTTCTTCTGGAAGAAAATGCACCAGGCCTCGCGGAGCTCGCGAAACTGAAACACCAACGGTATGCACCTGCATGGGCACACCAGAGTTCCTTGGAATATCTTACAAAAGGTGCAACCGCCGCGAGCCATGTAGGCTCGTCTTCCATGATCAGGAGGCTTGTGAGAGATCTCCCTTTGCAACTCGGTCCCAGCACGGAACCAGCCTGTTGCCGAATACGGTGGAGCTCCCCATCCGAAATCCCACGGCACTCGGATCCATACAGGACCCCAGGAAGCGGCCCCGAAACCCAGATCTTTTTGGCATGGGAGGCGATATGTTTTTTGTTCAGGCCCCTGACCTTGCGCGCTTTAGCCTTCAGATTGACCGTGCGAATCTTGAGCTTGGACTCTCTGAGGGCCTTCTTGATATACGCTTTCCTCCTGGACCGACCTGCTGCAAATTCAATACCAAGATCCACGACGCTATCGCACAGGGGCCCCGTGCGGTCGCCGAAGAAAAACTGAAGCTCCCTGGCCACCGATCCGTCCGAGCAGACAAGGTTGCCCTGGCCGGCCTTGGAGAGCGAGATCGAGCAGCCGCACTCGTGGACCAGCGCGTGCTCCAGTTGCCTCGAACCTTCCTTGATACCGAAAAGCACGTCCTGAGCTTTCCCCGTGGAGTCCAGCCCCGAGCCATCGATAAACTGAGCCAGGAAAACACCCCTGGGGAGTCGGATGTTACTCATCGGCCCCAGGATATACACACGGACCACGGTCGTGGCCATGGAGCAGCCAGCCACAACTCCTCTAAGAGCAAAGAAAGGCCCCGCCACAGCAGAGGCCATGCTAACAAATCGCCCGTACCTGTAGGCCTGGATGCACAGCTGAGTTATCTGGACAGGGAAACCAAACCTCCTGGCCTCCTCCTCCAACCTACGATGGGAGAAGTTTTCATAACACTTCGTCATGTCCCAGAGAAGCATCGCCGAAACCTCCCCCTTCCTCGTGCTAAGCTCGGCTCGAGCAGCCTGCCGCCACACCGTGTCAGCAGCGCAAGCGAACGAACTGCCAGAGAAAAAGGCACGAGCGTTTCTGGCCTCCCACTCCGCAGCCAGCTCCCTTCTACACTTGCCCCAAAGCCTGAACAGGGAAACGAACAACCCGATGGGCATATACCCCCCTGACGCTTTGGATAACAGAACCTCCTGGATAATCTGGAGCTGGCGCGGCAGGCTGGAGAGAGATTCGAAGATCGCGAAAAAAGAGGCTGACCACCTGCAAGCTGACGTCGGAGAGCCACGAGTAATGCCGCATGTGAAACCCGTCCACTGCCTGGGCCGTGGACTGCTTGAAGGCAGCCGAGACAGACCTAATGCGATCTGGTGGGGCCATGGGAAGAGGCTGACACACCCCCTCAAACATGCGATCAGGAGCCTCCGAAGTCGCCTCCCAAAGTTTGGCCCAGCTCGAGGCCTCACTCTTAAGCAAACTCAGAGGGCCCGAAAGGACCAAACCTCCCGCGGACAAGGTCGTGGTAGGTGTCCAACCAGGGGCCTCCTTGGAGGCCAGATGCGCATGTTTTCCCCCCTCCTTGATTTTTGTGAGAAGCCAGTTTTTCCACCCGGCCTCACCGTCTCGACGAGCTTCGCCTTGAAGCTTGACCACATACTTCTGCACAAGTGAGAGCACATCTTGAGCAGCCTCCAGCCACTCAGCCTGGTTCCAGTGCGAGCACGGGGGCCGACACTCTGGTAACGGTAGCGCTCGCGCTAGAGCTTGGAGGGTATCTAGATACTGGTCCCATTCGTCACACCCCTTGATCAGCACGAACGACGGTGGGTCCAAGATAGCCTCAAGGGTCTTCTGAACCTCAGGAGCTCCATCCCGACACTCAATCATCGTCCTGGAACCGATGGGAGACCCACTTGCCCGCGAACAACTTGGGGTGCCTGAAAGGGGGGGCCTTGTCCTTGATGATGGGAACCCAGTGCAGCTGCGGTGACTTACTGCGGGCACCGTAAAAAGGCAGCGTCTCCTGAGCCAGGCCACAAAGCTCCTGCTCAGCCAGATCAGCCCAAAGGCCGTAGGCCCAGTCCAACATGCCTTGGGTCTCCGACAAATTCCCAGTGATCGCAGTCCCCAGACACCCCACGGCAACGTTCTGCACCCTGCTCCGATCGGGAGGAGCACGACCGACCCCAGTCGGCCTTTCCTTCGGAATAGGCGGTGGCTTACGGAACGTGAGCGCGCACAACTGCGACAACCGCGGGTGCAACTGCAGGTGGACGGGCTTGTGCGGTGACAGCTGCGCCACTTGCACGATGCTCGCCCCCTGGATGCCCTTCGCTATGCCGCCAGTGCAAACAAAATAATCCAATACATTCAGACCTCCCAACGATCTGCAGGTCCCCGAGCCAGACGGTCTGATCAAGGACCCTTCCAGCTTCTCAGGAAAACCAGACTCCAAAAGCAGCTCAGGCGCCATATGCCAGTCTCCCCCCAGAATAGCCTGATGCCCAGACATCTTCACAGTAGCCCCAGCGGTACTAAGAAGATCCAAGCTTCTGCTCGAAAGCCCCTCACTGTCGAACAGATACGCCGAGATGACCAGAAACGGAGCATCCCCTGGAAGATGAACCAGAGCATTCGCCAGACGTCCGGGAGCGAGAGCAGAGCCCCACAGAGGCTCATGCAGACGAAGGACCTCCCGAGCAAGAATGCCCACGCCCCCTGAGGAGCCATCCCCCTGACCAGGAATCGCAGGACAGAGGATAGCCTTCCAGCCGTGACGACTGCACCACGAAGTCGCCTCCTTGATAGCCGACCGACCCACAATGTGGTGCTCCTGCAGACAAATGATGCGAGCCGTGGTGTTACTCAGCCACTCCTTGAACGAGTTCCAGCAAGTGGCGTTACAAGTCTCCACTCGGAGGCCGGAACCAGAAGGGTCGGGCGGCTCTGGGGGTGCCTGCAGAAAGTCGAAAGAACTAGTGGCTCCTATCTGACTGGGGACCCCTGGGTGACCGACAGCACAGGCCGAAAAAGGCGCGCAGGGCAGAGGAAGGCGTGGGCTGCCTCCAGCAGCCTCCTCAGAAGACGACCCCGAAGTCGCTGTCGGGCTCGGAGCTCTCGGCGTGGTCGACGGGCGCGCCGAAGACGAAGTTGGCGAGCCGCTCGCCGTGCTGACGGCCCCGCAAGCACTGGTAGAAGTACATGGCGACGCACTCGAAGGGGTAGCTGATAGCCGCCTCTTCTCCCCACGCCGAGAAGGACCACCATCATCCGCCACGTGATCACGAACCTGATTCGGCGAGGCCGCCGACCCCGCACACCTCTCGACAGCCGCCCAGGGACGAACTCCCTCGCCCTGCCCAGAAGGCGCAAGGCTTGCGCCCAGAGCTTTAACGTCCCCGACCGACTGGGGCCAGGGGAACGTGGAGCCGTCCACGGGGAAGGCTGCCGAGGGTCCGCCCGCGGCGGAGGACGCTCCCCCCCCCATTATCCCCCATGGGGGGGGGCCTCTGGCCACATTGACGGCTGCCAGGGGTGGAGGGGGGTCCGACGAGCAGCTCGACCTACGCGTCGTGCCAGGCGACGATGGGGCCGAACCAGTCGACGCAGAAGCCGCCGCTGACGTAGCCGACGTAGAAGAAGTGGCACTGCTTTTCGCAAGCCTCGACTGCCCACCAACCTTGGCCACATCGCAGTAAATGAAACGTACACGGCCTCCTCGAGTCGATCGAGCTGGACGACTGCCATGCACAAGAATGCCTCGTAGCGTGTTACCCGCACTCTGATGCGCCCGCCGCTGCAGCGGCCACACCCTTGCTTGCGCCATTTGCCGAAGCCGCTGCGACCGCAGCCCGAGCCTCGGCCTTGAGCTGCTCGCTGTCGCCAGCTCCACCCGCAGTGCCTGGCTGGCCAGCAGGAGGAGCGCCCGCCCCTTCAGACGGAGCAGGCTGCCCAGGCTGCCCCGCTGCTGCAGGCGCTGGCTCCCCCATGGACTCCTCATCATCGGCCGTGCGGCGCTTCTTCGCCGCCAGCCGCTCCTGCAGGGCCTTGTGCTCGGCCTGCAGGGCCTCTCCCTTCTGGCGCACCTGGCCGAAGAAGCTGCCCGCCATCTGCCTGAAGGGCTCGGGCATCTGCTTCTTCCTGCGCTTCGCCTCCGCCAAGGCCTCGGGCCCGAGCTCCTCGAACTCCGCGTAGCCGAAGAGCCCGTCGTCGTCGAGGTCCAGGTCGTCCAGGTCCCCGTCCATGAGCTTGGCCAAGGAGAGCTTGGGTGGCCCCCCAGCCTCAGCCGCCGCAGCTTTGCCAGGGGCTCCCACTCCTGCAGCGGCCTCGGCCACCGCTTCCTTGTAGTCGGCATCCGCGCTCTCGAGCTCGGTAACCAACTCGGCCACCAGCATGCGCTGCTTGTCCACTTGCGCGAGCAGGTCCTGGAGCACCACGTTATCCGCCTCCAGCTTGCTCTTGAGGTTGCGGACCTTCGCATGCGCTTTGTTGGCCCTGAGCTGAGCTGGCTGCTCGCTCCCCTTGTCCAGCTGGTCCAAGAGCTGCTTGTACTTCTTGGCCGTCTGCACATCACCAGACTTCTCTGCCATCTTGACCATGGAGCGCAACTCATTCTTGGAGAGGGCCGTGGTGGCGGACTGGGACTTGGCCTGGATGGCAGCACGGTGCTTGTCGGCCATCTCCTTGTCACCCTTGCTCTCGGCAAGAGCGACCAGGGCCTGCATGGCGCCCACTCCGAGGTCCACCTCACCCCGAGCAGGAGCACCACCGCCACCAGCAGGACGAGCACGATCCCTCTTCCACGGCGGCTGCGAGTCCCCGCCGTCGCGCTCGGCTCCGCAGTGCTTGCACCAACGCCACCGCGCCAGGTTCTTGGCACATCGGCAGTCGGGCTGGGAGCAACGCCGCGTCTCCCCGCACTCCGATCGCGGTCGCGACGCCGCCCTCGATGGTGCCCGCGACCGAGGCTTGCCGCCATCTGCACCCATGTCGGCGAGGTGGCCGTCGCCGTGGTGCCCGCGCAGCAGCCGCCTCGCACGGTCGATTGCCAGCAGGCCGCGAGCCTCCGCCCGCCGCCTCCGCAGACGCCTGTGCCAGGCAGGGGAAGGCGCCCGATGGCGGCGCCCTCGGCCGTCCGTGACGCCCGCCGCCCCTGGGGCAGCAGGCTGGGGGCTGAGACAAAACGGGCCCCCTGTGGCCCGCAGGTCTGAGCCAGCCTAGGAGGAGGAGGAGGAGGAGGAGGAGGAGGAGGAGGAGGAGGAGGAGGAGGAGGAGGAGGAGGAGGAGGAGGAGGAGGAGGGAGGAGGAGGAGAGGAGGGGGAGGGAGGAGGAGAAGGAGGAGGAGGAGGGGGAGGGGGCGTTGCCCGCAGTCGGTGCAGCGGGGGGGCCTGGGCAGGGCAGGGGCTGTTGGGCTGGGATCGTCCTTGGGGCCGTCTGGGCGTTGAGCCCCCCTTTCTGCGGCTGGTTGCTGCCGCGGCTGGTGTGTGCTGGTCGGGTCCTTTCGCGTCGGACGATCTGGCTGCACTCGGGGGTGCGGGGCATCGCTCCCGAGGCCCTCTCGTGTGGAATGGATCGGGACAGTTGCAAAAGGACCTCGTGGGCGTCGGCAACGCTGGTGTAGTGAGGGTTGTGCGCGACGACAAGCATTTTGCTGACCTTCTCGCGGGTGTCGCTGTCTAGGTGGGACTTGATCATGAGGTTGTGGACGTCGGACGTCTGAGTCCTGGAGCAACCTTCGATGCTGAAGGACTCAGGCTCCTCCCATGTCGTTGGCTTGCGTGTTTTTGGTCTCCGGACTAGTGTTGCCTTGGAAGGGGCGGTCCTGGTGGGATTGGTGGTGGTGGCGATGTCCGTCCTCCTCCTCCTCCTCCTCCTCCTCCTCCTCCTCGTCCTCCTCCTCGTCCTCCTCCTCCTCCTCCTCCTCCTCCTCCTCCTCATCCTCCTCCTCCTCCTCCTCCTCCTCCTCCTCCTCCTCCCCCCCCGCACCCTGCACTCAGAGGCACAGGCGTGCCGCTGGCGCGAATCAGCAGAGCGGCGCGCCCGCGACCCGTGGAGCCGATGGAGATGTTGATCGCCAGCCTCTGCAAGTTGCAGGGATCATCTCAAATGATAACTGGAACCTGAGATGTTGAAGCAGATCGAATCGAGCGAACACCGAACCCCAACAGCATGACGAATCTGGACTTCTATCTACGAACACCCGTTCTTCTCATCTTCGTAGATCGGTTTGCCCCTCCCCCTCTCCCCTCTCGTGTCTGGACGCCCGCCCCCCCTCCCCCCCTCCTGAGGTGTCGGACGGCCTTTTGTGGCCCACGATGGCCCTTGAAACCCTAAGACGGCCCTGGAATTCGCCGGCCCAACGGGCCAGAGGCGTGCTAAGATCTCCGGTAACTTGTTAACAATATTTCTAGTTCGCGCGCGCGGAGCGGCCCCTGGGGGCCCCCGGACGAAAAGTACCCCGGCAAGGTCCCGAGAGAAGCCCGGGAGAAGCCACCAGACCACTCCAGGGGAGGGTATTTTTCGACACCCCTCACGAGGATCGTGGCCTCCGAGGGGGGAGCCGCAATCGACTACCCCCAAGAGCCCCCCAAGAGGCCCTGGGGGCCTCCAAAACGCCGCCGAGGAGCCCCAAGAGACTCCCAAGAGGTCCTCAAGAGGCCCCCAAGAGGCCCTAAAGAGGGCTCCAGGGCCGGCGGCATGAGCGAAGCGATTAAATAACAGGGGATGCGGCATGCCAGCCTCCGAACACCTCCGAGAGGCCCCAAGACGGCCACAGGGTGGCTCCGAGTGCTGCCGGAGGCCCCCCCGAGGGCCCCCTCCATCCAGAAGTCGTCGTGCGTTGCCCTTCGTTGCTGCCGTGCCCTTCTGGCACGTTGCGCGGCAGAATCTCGAACGATGGCTGGCCCCCGCTGGCACGTTGCGCGGTAGAATCTCAAGCGATGTCTGGCGGGGCCTCTGTTGAGTCCTACACGCCGCCCCCCCTTCTTAAGAGGCCCCCCTGGGCGGGCCAGGGCCCCCCTGGGGCCCTCCAGGGCTTTCAACATAGCCCATGAGGGCCGCCAAGATGGCGCCACATGGATCAAAGAGGCTGGCCAGTCTCCAAGAAGATCACCAGAAAGGCCAAAGAGGCCCCAAGAGTTGTTCAAGACACCAGGGGAGGGCCAACCGTATGCCTGAATCGCTCAACAATGATTCTCAGATTTTGCATGTATTGACTTCCATGTGCCCCTCAGCTCCAAGAGGGCCCAAGAGAGGCGTAGAACAGCCCCAAGGGTCACCAGATAGCGCAAGAAGCCCCCAAGACAGGCCCAAGACAGGTCCCAGCCGGCCGAGTGGGCCCCTCGAGGGTCGCTCATGAATAGAGACGTGAACAGTCATAAGTTATGGCCTTCTGGGCGGTGCCCGAAGCGTGGCCACATCGAGCGCTGCGCTGACACGGCGGCGGAACTTGCCGCAGGCAGCTGAAAACTTGAACGACCTCGTGTCAACTTTAGGTCACCGCATGCTGCCGTTACTCACAGCAAGCGCCGCGACGAAGAAGCTCCAACCAAAGGCCGTCCTCCCGACAAGAACAGCCTGCTGCTTGTGGGGGACGCCGTCTCCGTCACCGCCGCTGAAAGTCGTCGTCCTCCTCCCCCTCCTCCCGATGTTCGACCTCCGCCCTCCTGGTGCGCATGCTGCCAGGAGCTTCTTGCCAACAGTTTCCCCGAGCTGCATGCCGCCCCGTATGCTCAGTTCAATCCAGGCGGACAGCTGTGCACGCAGCCCAGCCCAGGCGCTAAGCAACGAAAGCATACATAACAGTCCTGCAGAGTGGAAAAGGCGCGTGCACAAGCGCCGCGCAACACAAGCGGGAAACGGCGCACTCAGATGCCGTGAGTGGAACTTATGCCATCTCTGCCAAATCTGCATCTAGCAAGAACTCAGCATCGGTCGCCCGCAAATTTCCTGCGTGCACCCCTACATCTGACACCCTCCTTCTCTCCCGCGCGCGCGCCCACCGCCACACCCGCCTCCTCGAGAGTGCCCGTCGCCTCTGCATCCGCTTCCCGTGTTCGCCTCTGTGGGTCCCTCCGTCGCCAATCGGCCGAAGCACCAAACCAGGAGTGCAGCCAAGCAAGCTCCTGACCTCGACGGGGGGGAAGACAAAAGGGTAGGAGGAGGGAAGCCTCCCAAACGCTGCCCCGTGACTGCAAACGGGAGCCACCCTTCCACCAGACGACCCTCGTCCAGATTTAGGTCGGGCACGTCCCCCTACAGAGGGATTTTGGGCGACAAAAAACAGATATTCTAAACAAACCCCCCAAATACCCAAACTATTTGTTTGTACTATGTTTGAATATATCTCCTGTAGAGGGACAGGCCCGACGTAAGTCCAGACTCGAACATCGAAGTGGGGACGGAAGGTGGGCCACAGAGGCATTGTCCTCTTCTTGCCCCGCTTCTCCGGCCCCTCCCTCCAGAGGGAAGCTGGGGAGAGAGGAGAGGAGCACGAGGACTGGAGAGAGGGCAGAGGAGAAAAGGAGATGATACGAGCAGGATGGGCGCAAACCGTTGGGGAGAGGGTAGGAGAGAGAGAGGATGAAAGAAGAGAGGACAGACAGAGGAGGGAGGAGAAAAGGAGAAGGATGGAAGAACGACAGGAATGCAGGGCCTAGCTGCCTCTCGAAACTGCCAAGCCACCTGTTCTCCAAATCGTCGCTGCTGGAAGCTTGAAACATGGAAGCCATACTGCTCTGGACAACTAAAACAATACACAAACATCTGCCATACCTGGGAACGGAACAAAACAGAGCTGCGACTGAAAACGGCAACACCATGATAACGAACGGTTGAATCCTGACAAAACTGCAAACGCATTGGGCACCGATTGGAAAAGTGGAGAAAACTGCGCAAACAAAGAAGGGGGAATGTGGATAATCCCACTAGCCCTTTGGGCGAAAGTGGTGTAGAGCGTTTCCTCTTCCACTCCCCTTCTTCCCCTTGAATGAACATCCCCTCCCCCAGGCGACAAGGACCAACAAGGTACAATGACCCCCCAACCATCCCTGTCAAACAGCAATACTAAGTACACTGTGGGGCAACATATTGTGCCATCCTCGTAGGCCACGCAAACACTTTGTATTGTTTGGATGGCCAAGACGGCGGGGGTGTTATCATATTGTCTGCTGCGCGCAGGGCCACCATCCATTGCAAACAACAATACATAATGCACGTCGCGGCTAAATCTGGATCATGCGCGGCCACCCCGCGGTCACTTTGCATTTAATTGTGACAAGGACGGCGGGGGTGCTGGCATATTGCCTGTTGTGTGCAGGCCCAAAAGACATCATGATCGCCACCCCGCCGCGATTACGCATTGGTTTGCGAGGAGGACGGTGGAGGACGACATGGTTCCCGATGTGTGCTGTCACGTGCGCAGGCGCACCTGGCACACGCACCGCGTGCCCCGATTGTGGCGCACCTGGCGCGGCTGGAGCATGCGGCACACACATGGGGCACGTGGAACACGTGGTGCCTCTGTCGCACCAAGCGTGCGTGGCACGCTGGGGCCACAGGGGTGCCTGGCGCACCTGGCGCGCGTGGCGCGCCTGGCACGCGTGGCGCACCTCGCCCCAGCATCGCGCACATGGGGTCTGCGCGTGGTTCCCACTAGCTGTCCATCCATGGTCGACCGTTGAACACGCCGAGGCCAGGGTGCTACAGATGCGCCGGGAGGGCGGGCGGGAGTGAGCGAGGCGGCTTGCGGGCGGGGAGGGTGCCTTGACCTCTCCCCCGGCACCCATCCCCTGGGTCTGGGTGGGGGGGGGCGCGAGCGGCCATGGCGCCCAAGATGGCCCAACATGGCTCCAGGAGGGCTCCCGATGCTCCAAGATGGGCGCCAAGATGGCTCAAGATCACCGAAGGTCGTTCAAGATAGCTTCCACCATACCTCCAAGAGGGCCCAAGAGGGCCACAAGACGGCTCCAAGTGCTCTCGGAACCCTCCAAAGAGGCCCACGAAAGGCAATCATCCTTCAAAGGCCAACGAAACATCCAAGATGTGTGCCTTCTCGCTTTGTCGCTTCCGATGCGCTTTTGAGGCCTCAGGAGGACCCCACGAGAGCTCCAAGAGGACCCCAAGAGCTCCCTAAGAGGGCCCACAAAGCGATGTTGATGGCCCCAGAGGGGGGAGGCAAATCAAGGACACCCCTTCCCCTGAACGACGCCATACAAGATTGCACCAAAATGCCTTGCAGCGCCCCCAAGAGGGCCCAAGAGAGCCCCAAGGGGGCCCCAAGCAGGCCCCAAGACCACCCCACGACGGCCCCAAGAGGCGGGTTGCCTCCTCTTCCTCCTCTTCCTCCTTCTCCTCCCCTCCTCCTTCTCCCCTCGCCCCCCCACGGGCCCCAAGGGTGGCCCGAAGAGGCCCTCCAAGGCCATCCCCTTGCTCCCAGAAATCTCAATGTTCATCCTGGTTGCCCGCGTTGTATCAATAAATGTCTCGTCGTCCCTTTCCCGTCAGGTCGCATGGGCAACATTTCTGAACGGACTGATGGGGATACGCGAAGCGTGAATAGATGGAAAACTGATTAATGAATATGCGAAAATCAACAAACACACGGCGTGCGAACGTTATGAATACGGAAATAAAGCTAAGCCGTAAGCACGCATAAATAATTGAACGCTCTAATCGGGGGGGCAACAACGTTCTGGCCAGTTTGATAACCAATACAGGTCATGTCAAAGTGTAGGCGTGCCTCAGTTTGTCTTGTGATCACTTGATGTTGACATGCGTACGGAGTTACTTGTTGGACACGACCCCGGATCCCCAATGATCTGTCTAAGTCCTTTCTCTATGTGCGTGGCAACTCCCCTATAGTTGACGCGACTCCACTTTCGCGTGGGCTTCGCTGCTTCTGGATAGGGAGACTGAGATGTAGACACAGGGAAGAAAAGAGAGAGAGAGAGGAGGACACTGAATCGACAGAACACGTGCGGCAACTGCGGCGCAGAATGAGAAGACATGGCATGGCGCGGTCTCGTTATGGACCGCCTACATTGTGTAGGCTCGCCACCCACTGCCTCACTCCCGGCTGCACCTATTCCAGTTTCTCGCGATGCAAGGGGGCGAAAAAGTCACCCACAGGACAGGACATGTACTCCAGCCCTTGGCCAAGCCCTAGCCCGTGACCGTTGCTGGAAGCACTGCGGCGACGAGGCGTCAGGCACAGCGCCGAGCGCCGAGGACACCCTTACGCCTCGACGCCGCACGAGGGCCCGGGGGGAAGACGCGGCCTCAGAAGGCCTCACACGCCTGAGATGTGTGTGCGAGTGTGCATGTGTGCACAGTTGGGCATGCAGAGAGAGAGAGAGAGAGAACTGGAGGCAAAGAGGGGGATGGAGAGGGAGTTACACTACAAAAACGATAGAGAGGGGTGTGTGTGTATATATATATATACATATGTATGTGTATACACCCTGCGAAATGGTTTAGAAATCATGGGTTAAGAAATTCATACTCTCAGAATTTGAAATCAAACCCAGAATGTCTATTCAAATGTTAGGATTTACATTGAAGCATTAAGAATAATCGAGATCCTGGCCGAAAACTTGGGTTTTCTTGAGCATCGCCTGGAGTGTATATATATATATATATATATATATATGCATATCCGCCACTGCGCCTCTGGGCACGGAGTGGGCGTACCCTCAGGTCCTTTGCCCAATCCTCTGAGCCTCAAGCCTTACTCATGAGGAGTCTGCAATGGGGCGCAGACCCCAAGGCGCCACGTCTTCCTGGGCGTGTCGCGTGCCCCCCTGGGCTTCTCGCGGCTTCGCGCGCGACTTCCTCGGAGCCACGAAGGCCTCAAGACGGGCCGAGAGGGCTCCGCGAGGCCCCGAAGACGGTCCGAGAGGACCCCGAATCGCCGAACGATCGGCTCAAGATGCCCAAGACGGTCCCCAAAACGTGCCTCCAAGAGCCCTCCCCAGAGGGTCCCAATAGGCAAAAATCATTGATTTCCCATTGGTGTATCAAGGAATTGGGAGTTGTCGACGTTTCGGCTTCCCGACGCTCCAAGACCGCCCACGAGGCCCCGAAGATCGCCCCAAGATGGCCCCAGAGGCCCTCAAGAGGGCCCCAGGACGGCTCGAGAGGGCCCAAGAAACGCCCAAGACGGCCCACGAGTACCGAAAGACGGCCCCAAGAGGGGACTAGACGGGGAACCCAGACGGGTACGTCGCGCCCTCTGCCCCGAGGGCCCCCCAGGAGGCCCCCAAGAGGCCCCCAAGAGCCTCCCGAGAGGCCCCCAAGAGGTCACAAGGTGTCCCCAAACTGCTCCCAAGAGGCCCCCGAGAGCGCTCCGAAGAGACATCCCTGACAACTCTGACCCACAACCCAAGCACGGTGGCGGGATGGGCCGAATGACATTCTATCCGCCGCCTCCTGTCGATTCATCGCATGGGTGCCCGGCGTGCCAAACCCTATCGTTTTTGGCTTTGGTTCTTTTCCAACAGAACTCCCCTTGGGGCTTCGGCCCGTCCCGCCGGCCACCAGGCAAGAAACTCAAGGAGCATAATTCCCAAATAGTTCGCTCAAGATGGCCCAAGATGGCCTCCAAGATGGCCACGTTGGCCCAAGATGGCCTCCAAGATGGTCCAAGATGGCCTCCAAGTCCGCCCAAGATGATCCAAGACGGCCCCAGAGAGTCCAAGATACCTCCAAGGTCGCCCGAGAAGCCTCCAAGACGGCCCAAGACGACCCAAGAGGCCTCCAAGAGATCCTCCAGGAGGGCTCGAAGAGGCCAGAATCATTGGTTGTCCATAGGTGTTTGAAGGATTCTGGCATTTGCTTCTTCTCGGCATTCCGACGGCTCAAGACGGCCCAAGAGGCCCCCAAGATCGCCTCCTCAAGATCGCCCATGAGGCCTCCAAGATGGCCCCATGACTGCCCAAGAGGCCCCCAAGACGGCCCCAAGAGGGCCCCAAGACGGGAGACGGGCCCAGAGGCCTCCAAGACGCCCAAGATGGCCTCTAAGGCGGCCCTGGAGCACCCCAAGAAGGCCCCAAGTCGACCCAGAGAGGTCCCCCAAACGGCTTCCGACGGCGTCAGACGGGCCAGGAGCCCACCAAGATGGCCCAAGTTGGCTCTAGGCTAGCCCAAGACGGCTCAAGAGGCCTCCAAGAGGGCCTCCAGGAAGACCAGAAGAGGCCAAAAACATTGATGTTCCCAAGGTTTTCGAAGGATCTTGACATTTGCTTCTTTTCGGCCTTCCGACGGCCCGAGATGGCCCACGAGCCCCCGAAGATCGCCCCAAGATCGCCCAAGATGCCTCCAAGATGGCCCCAGAACGGCCCAAGAGGCCCCCAAGAGGCCCCCAAGACGGCCCAGGAGGCCTTTCAGATTCCCAAGATGGCCTCCAAGACGGCCCTGGAGTATTCCAAAAGGGCCTCAAAGCGGAGAGGCCCCCCAAACGGCTTCCGACGGCATCAGACGGGCCAGGAGCCCACCAAGATGGCCCAAGATGGCCCTAAGATGGCAGAAGACGGCCCATGAGGCCTCCAAGAGGGCCTCCAGGAAGGCCCGAAAAGGCAAAAATCATTGATTTCCCATGAGTGTTTGAAGGATTGTGGCATTTGCTTCTTTTCGGCCTTCCGACGGCCCGAGATGGCCCAGGAGCCCCCAAAGATCGCCCAAGAGGTCTCCAGTATGGCCTCAGAACGGCCCAAGAGGCCCCCAAGACGGCCCCAAGAGGCCCCCAAGACGGCCCAAGAGGCCTCCAAGACGCTCAAGATGGCCTCCAAGACGGCCGCCGTCCTGAGGGTCTGTTGGGCGGTCTTGGGAGCCTCTTTGGCGCTCTTGGACCGTTGGAAGCTCGAAAACGCAACAAGCCAAAAACATTGGAAAAAACAATGGGAATCGACGATTGTGGCCTCTTCGGACCGTCCCGGGACGCCTCTCGGACCTCTCTTGGGGTCTCTTGGAGGTTACCTGGGAGCCTCGAGAGCCGTCGGAAGGCTGACTTGGGCTGCTTGGGAGCGTCTTGGACCATCCTTTCGAATTCTGGGCGCTCCTGGGTGTCGTCTTGGGCCCTCCTGGAGCGCTGTGGAGGCTCCCCGGAACGCCCGGGGGAGCGGTACCAGGGCGTCCCCCAGATGTGGCAGGGAGGTGTGGCACTCGGGGCCGGGGGAAGGCGGTATTTACAGTGTGCGTATATATATATATATATATATATATATATATTATATATATATATATATTATAAGTTTGTATAAAGACACACACATATATATATACACACAATCACATATCGAGAAAGAGAAAGATATATATATAGAGAGAGAGAGAGAGAGCGAAGAGAGTGGGAGAGAGAGAGAGAGAGAGAACAAGAGAGAGCGAGAGAGAGAACGAACGAGAGCGAGAGGGGAGAGAGGGGGGGGGAGAGAGAGAGAGGGGGGAGAGAGAGAGAGAGAGGGAGCGAGAAATGCGTGTGTATATGTATAGATCTATGCATATATATATATATATATATATATATATATGTACATATATATATATAAGAGAGAGAGAGAGAGAGAGAGAGAGAGAAAGAGAGAGAGAAACAACAACAACAACAAAAAAAAACGGGAGAGAACAAGAGAGAGGGAAAGAGAAGGACAAGATAGAGAGAGAGAGAGAGAGAGAATGTGTGATAATCCCCAAACGCGCCAAAAAACAGCCGCAACTTTTCGGCCCCCGTGGTGACAACGGAAAAAAGCAAGCCGGGGTCTTTGCTCCTGCGCGCGCGCCGCCCGACCGCCCCGTGCGCCTACTGCGACACCGTGCGAGGCCGATGGTCCACGACGCGCGCGGCACGAGGACGAGCCGTTGCAGCGTTCCCAGTCGCTCGGCCACTGCGCGGAGGCCCAGGGCTGAACCTAAGCGGTGGTCATCGTTCTCGCTCCGTTTCCGCGGTCCCTCGCGGCCGTCTCGAGGCCGCCCCTTTGCCGCAGGGCGAGGTCGAAGCGAGCGCGGCCCACGGAATCACCAGAAACACCGCTTGGGTCCAGCCCCGCCGGGGCCCAACCAGGGGACACTCACCGCGTGGAGCTGCCGGGTCCTCACACGCTCTCCACCACCTCGTCGGCGCCAGCCGCCTGCCCTCGGCCCTCGAGGAGGCCCGACGCCACGCGCCCGCGGCGCGCGGGGCTCGGGGCACGCAGCTCCTCGCGGACTCGGCGCGGCACGTCGGCGGGCTCGTGCCGACACCCCCCCCCCGACGCCGACCCCCCGCGGAGGACGTGCCTCGAGACCCAGACCCCCGACGCTGTGATTTCTTCGCGACGCGACCCCTAGAGGTCTGGAGCCCTTCCCCAGGACCGGCTTTTCGTTCTGGGTCGTTTTCGACGGCCCCGAGGCCCGGTGAGGGCCCCCGGGGGGCCGGGAGGATTTTCGTTGGTTTGCGCCCGGTGACCGCCCGCCGCTGGCACGTCCCCGCCCCGCGCGCTGGCTGCACCGGGCTCCGTCCTGTCGCCGCCTCGCCGCCGCCGGAGGGCCCCGGAGGGCCCCGGAGGAAAAACCTCCCGTCGTGATTTTGTTCACAGCGCGAGGGGGTCTGGGGAGGAGGGCCGGCCCCGCCCCCAGCGTGCGCGAGCGCCTCTCGGGACGGCCCCCGTCGAGAGGGTCGGCGCCGCACGGAGCGAGGCGGGCCCGCGCTCACCGAGGCACGGGCCCGCGCGCGGGCACGGCCTCCGTGGGGCCTGGCGCGACCTGCGTCGGCGGGCTCGCCGCGGCTCCCTGGGCTCGCTCTCTCGTTCGCCTCTGCACCTCGCGCCTTTGCAGTTCCCTGGGCTCGCTCTTCTCGCTCGCCTCTGCACCTCCCCTCGCTCGCTCTCTCGCTCGCCTCTCGCCTCCTTCTCGCTCGCCTTCTCGCTCGCCTCTGCACCCTCCGTGCTCACGCATGACAGCTGCGCTGGAGTATCCTTTTCCGCTCCCGCGAAAACAATCGAGAGATGCGATGCACTGAGCTCTGGATGCGCAGCCTGTTAGTGAAGCGATGGCGAAACACATGTTGAATGGCCAACAGCACTGCTGGAGAACGACAGATCGAGGCAAGAGACCTGTGGACCTAGCGATCAAGTGCACATGCTCAACATCCGAAGCCGAAGCTGTTGCTGATGCCTCTCCTCTTCTCATCCCTCCCCTGCCGCTCTCGTCCTCCTCCTAAGCCACGGGGCGACCTCTCTCGCGCAAATAAGAAAACATGTTCAACAGACATGGTGCCACGTTCCGCATAAGCATCTCACGTGAAACGGTCCACTTCAAACGCATATCGCAACCAACATACACTTGGATGTGATAAATTCACAAGCTTGCCACAACATACAGTTACGGCATTACTCTGTTTTGTCATTACGACCTTACGACCAGCAATAATCATAAATAACCCATGTATTCTGGCTTCTACATTGGGTGACCGTGTCTGTGTGTCTACCCTGACGGGTACAACCAACTACGTATAGGCTGTACACGGCATGTGCAACTCGCCATTTTCACCATCAACACGTACATAGAAACTCATCTCATACGTGAACGATCGATAAACATTCCCACCCCTCCGGTAGAGGTCGCGAACATGGCATGGGTGGCATGGCGCTTATCTGAGAAGCCGGAGTAGCCTGTCGAGACCACAATTCTGTTGCAGTCGGAAGCGGCAAACAAGACATGGACGACGGCAACATGACCGATATGGTGTGTACAATGCATGTTCACAGCTTGCGTCCGTAAGTCCGCCATGCCCATGCCCAAGCAGAAGGCAATCCAACTCGCTCCGCAGATCCTGCACACACACAGACACACAAAGACACACAGAAACACAAAACACACACACACACACTTCTTTTACTGATGTCGCGGCCACGCGTGAGCGGCGGCACGGCGTACAAAGGCCAGGGGAGTGGCAGCGCGCGCCGGCTGGGCAATCACGCATCACTACACTTTTCCGTCGTCGGCCGGTTGGCGTCAACGCAGCGGGTACTACTGGGGCGGGCCACTCCCAGTTCAACTACCACCTGGCGTTGCAGATTGGGGGGTCAGGACGTGTCTGACGCATGCGGGGAAAGAACCTCCGAGGCGGGTGCACGCGGAAGAACTGACATGCAATCAGGTGGGCGGCGCCACCCGACCGCGCATGAAGGATACACGTACGACCATCATGGCGGCCCGTGGCCCACTCAAGGGCACGAGGCGGCGACCGCAGCGTAAGAAGCGGCGAAAGTGCAGCAGGCCCAATGGTAAGGGCGAGCGCGTAGCGAACGCGACATTGCGCCGCACGTGTCCCACAAGGAGGTTCGGGATGGCGGCAGAGAAAGAAGAGTGACGCGACCGCGACAGGCCCGACAGAGGGCGAAGCGAGTGAGAGCGGCATGCGAACGCTCAGCCGGACGTCGGCACCTTTGCCAAGAGGTGGCGCACACCAAACACACACACACACATTCACGCACACACACACACACGCACACACACGCACACGCAAACGCACACGCACACGCACACGCACACGCACGCATACGCGCACACGCACACGCACACGCACACACGCACACACACACACACACACACACACACACACACACGCACACACGCACTCACACTCACACACACACACACACACGCGCACTCACACTCATACACACGCACACACACACACACACTCATTCTCCGAAGTACTGAAAAAGCCTGTCACTGGTTAGACACAATGGCGGGCTGTGCTCAAAATACATAAATAGCTCCCTCATCAGGCCCCGCTTGCCGGGGGTGACGTTTGACTGTCTCCCCTCGCCCTTTCTCCCTCCCCTGGGGTCCAAAATGCCGTTCTAGGGGGGGGGGGAGGGGGGGAGGGGGGGGGGCGACGGGCTCTCCAACGAACCCCTGGGGCATCGGGAGCCCCACAAAGCTCCACGACAGCCGAACAGGGCCCAGGCAGAGCGCCAAGACGGTCGAAGAGAGCGTCATGACGCACGGTGCCAGGGTAGCCCCACGACGATCCGAGATGGCTTCAAGATGGCCCACGAGGCTTCCAAGACGGCCCAAAAGCGGCTCCAGAGGATCGCCGAGGGGCCCCCAAGAGGCCCACATCATCCCATGCCCCAGGTAAAGCGTACAATTTCAGCACATTCGCGTTTTACGCTTTGACAGCGAACGCGGCGGCCCAAATGGCCCCCAAGATCGTCCCGAGACGGCCCATGATGCCTCCAAGAGGGCGCCAAGACGGCCCACGAGGGCCCCAAAACAGCCCCAGGGGCCCCCCAAGACGGCCCAAGACAGCCCCTGGAGGGCTCCAAGGAAGCTAAGAGGGGGAATACGAACTCACATGTCGAGCCTTTCCCACCAAGATGGCCCCTCGAGCCCCCCAGAGGTCCCCGAGGGCCCTCCGAGAGGCCCCGAGTGGCCTCCAAGACGCCCCCAAAGAAGCCCTCCAGAGGCCCCCACGAGGGCCCCCCAAAGCCTCCCACATGCCCCCAAGAGTACTCCAGGAGGCCCCAGAGAGGCATCCCAAAAGACCCGCGGATTCATCCAAGGGGCTCCTGACCCAAGATATATCTTCCACGATCGTCTCAAACACTCACTCCTTATGGGGGTCGGCGGAATAGCGCTAGCCACTTGAATAAATGGCGCCCTCATCAAGCCACACACCGGGCTGAGGTGCGTGTGAGATTTAATTACAAAGCTTTAGCCCCCCCCTTTTTCCCCCCCAGAGGCCTCCGCCATTCCGCCGCCCGGCTGCGGCAATGCCTTTTTTCGGTTTCCGAAACGGCTCCACGACGGCGTCCAAGACAAGCTCGATCTTGGTATCGTTCTGAAGACGCTGCCGGGGCGCCTGTGGGCTCCATTTCGGCCCCGTCGGGGCCCCTTCTTGGCCTCCAGCAATATCCGCTCCCGGAGCCCTCGAAAGCGCCTCTTTGGCTCATTCTCGCCGACACGTGGGGATGTCAAAAAAAATAGCAAATACTATGGTTTGGGCCTGATTTCGGCTTCCCCGGGGCTGTCCAGGACGCTGCTTACAGTTGACTTCCGGGCTCGCGTGCGTCATTTTTCATTACTCCCTTTTGTTCGCCGTTTTTGGGCGCGCTCCGGGGTCCATTTTGGACGCTGCGGGGCCCATGTTGGGCCGCAAAACTGACCCCAAACCAGGTCAGACCCCGCGCGGTTTTTGCTGCAAGACGGACGCGGTTGCGACCCAACGCGGAAGTGCTGTCGCTTGAGCCGCCCTGGGCTTCCCCCAGACCGCCTCGGGGCCTTCTTAGCCTCTTTTTGGGCCCTTTTCGGGTTCCTTTTCGGCCCTTCTTGGCGCCTTGCCGGCCGGATCACCGCCAGGGCAACCGTCGGGGCAACCAACCGCTCGGGCAACCGCCGAGACTAGCACGGGAAAAAAATCCGGGCAACCGTCGGGACAAGCACCCAGACATCTACCACGGCACACCTCGGGCCAGTCACCTGGTCAGCCATTGGAGAACCCACTCCAAGAGCCACCTTCCCTGCCATCGGATCAATCGACTGCGCAAGCGCGACAAAACCACGAGACTGCCACGCCACTGTATGACACAAGCCCACCACGGGAGCATGCCGCCTTCCCTACCATCGGATCAGTCGACTGCACAAGCGCGACAGAACTACGGGAATGCCACGCCACCGCATGACACCAGCCCACCACGGGAGCATGCCGCCACTGACACCTACTGACGCCCGCAGACCGACACAAAACGCTGCGCGCCCACTCACGTCTCTCAGACATCGAGCGCGCGTGACACCCGACACAGAGGAGCCCCAAGAGGTCAACGACGGAGCCCCAGCAGCACCCCGACAGGCCCCCCCGAGAGCAACGTCAACAGCAGAAGCACCACCAGCAGCGGCAGCACCACCACTGCGGCCAGCACCAACAGCAGCAGCAGCACCACCACCACTGACAACAACAGCAGCGGCACCACAAGCAGCAGCAGCACTAACACCGGCACCATCAGCACCAACGCCAGCAGCGCCAACAGCAGCAGCATAAGTAGGACCAACAGCAGCAGCGGCACCCGCACTGCACCGTACCACCAGCAGGAGTGACAGCAGCAACACCAGCAGCAACACCAGCCGCAGCACCACCACCACTAACAGTAGCAAGTACTACAAACCTACTGTCGAACAGCCACGAGGCATGCCTGAGCATAATAGGCGATAACATTGGAAGAGAGAACGCGGGACAAAAACAACAGTTACCCTGTGACGTACCCAACCCATTTGTATCATGGGAAACGAGGAGTTGGCCGAAACTTGCACGGACAATCAAATTGCAGGATCCGTTGCTTGATATGTAAGCTACTTGGGACACGCGCCAATGGCATGATGCGCAGGAGAACCATACAAGAACGAGAGGCGACAACTACAGGCTCGAAAAGGACATGGGGAGTCGGGAACGAAGAGCAGGAGAAAGACGTGCGGGAAGCCCACTGTGCTGTGCCCCTCAGCAGCCCTCGAAAGTGGCGACAGTTTCACATATCGCAGCCCCCGAAGGATAGCGAGGTCTAACCTGAGTCTGCGGTGAGTACCCACTGTGCTGTGTCCCTCAGCAGCCCTCGAAAGTGGCGACAGTTTCACAAATCGCAGCCCCCCAAGGATGGCGAGGTCTAACATGAGTCTGCGGTGAGTACCCACTGTGCTGGGCCCCTCAGCAGCCCTCGAAAGGGGCGACAATTTCACAGATCGCAGCCCCCCAGGGATGGCGAGGTCCCATTTGCATCTGCGGTGAGTACCCACTGTGCTGGGCCCCTCAGCAGCCCTCGAAAGTGGCGACAGTTTCACAGATCGCAGCCCCCCAGGGATGGCGAGGTTCCATTTGAATCCGCCGTGGGTACCGACTGTGCTGGGCCCCCCAACAGCCCTCGAAAGTGGCGACAGTTTCACAGATCGCAGCCCCCCCAGGGATGGCGAGGTCCCATTTGAGTCTGCGGTGAGTACCCACTGTGCTGGGCCCCTCAGCAGCCCTCGAAAGTGGCGACAGTTTCACAGATCGCAACCCCCAGCAGCCCTTGAAACACAGCGACGAGCGAGGTAAGAAAGTGGCGACAGTTTCGCAGACCGCAGCCCCCCATGGATGGCGAGGTCTAACTTGAATCCGCCGTGGGTACCCACTGTGCTGGGCCCCCCAGCAGGCCTCGAAAGTGGCGACAGTTTCACAGATCGCAGCCCCCCAGGGATGGCGAGGTCCCATTTGAATCCGCCGTGGGTACCCACTGTGCTGGGCCCCCCAGCAGCCCTCGAAAGTGGCGACAGTTTCACAGATCGCAGCCCCCCAGGGATGGCGAGGTCCCATTTGAATCCGCCGTGGTACCCACTGTGCTGGGCCCCCCAGCAGGCCTCGAAAGTGGCGACAGTTTCACAGATCGCAGCCCCCCAGGGATGGCGAGGTCTATTTGAATCCGCGGGGTACCCACTGTGCTGGGCCCCCCAGCAGCCTCGAAAGTGGCGACAGTTTCACAGATCGCAGCCCCCCAGGGATGGCGAGGTCTATTTGAATCCGCCGTGGGTGCCCACTGTGCTGGGCCCCCCAGCAGCCCTCGAAAGTGGCGACAGTTTCACAGATCGCAGCCCCCCAGGGATGGCGAGGTCCCATTTGAGTCTGCGGTGAGTACCCACTGTGCTGGGCCCCTCAGCAGCCCTCGAAAGTAGCGACAGTTTCACAGATCGCAGCCCCCAGCAGCCCTCGAAACGCAGCGACGAGCCAGGTAAAAGGCAGGGGGGGAGAGAGGGACGGGAAGGAAGGTTCGCGCGAGCAGTGCTCTATTCAAAACGAGAACCCAACGCAGGAGGGTTGGGAACACGACTTGTATGAATTCCTGCCTGTGTTTATCCTGTCATGGAGCCGTCTTCGCCTCGTCCGGCGAGACCTGGAATGGGCGGGCGGTGAACGCGAAGCGTCTTGAATAAATGGCGCCCTCATCAAGCCACATGGAAGAACTCCAAAGTCCCGGAAAATCGCACGTAGGCAACACAGGGCAGAAACACCGTTGTATGTGGTGGGAGACGGGTGCCAACCGGAGGGTGAGAGGGGGAAGGAGCGAGAACTGCTCCTGCCACAAACACACAAACACACAATATACACCAGCGCGTGAACTTCATCTACGACTCGTGTGCACAATAATGATGTCTAGCTGTTGGCGGACCCGATGGCCATCCTGGCACCAGCGGGCTCCCAGAGCGACCCTCCTCCGGAAGCGGCAGGCGCAGCAGGAAGGCCCGCGCACTCTGCAGCTGTGCGTCGGCGAGCGGTCCTGCTCTTCAGTGGCTGGGGCCAGCTCCCTTCGGGGGTCTTCTGACCCGGGTCACTCCAGACCCGGGTCAGTCAGGCCTTGCAGAATCCTGCCAGATCCTGCGAGATCCTGCACCCAGACCCGGGTCCACGCGAAGGACCCTGCAAGATCCTAGGACCCTGCACCCAAACCCGGGCCAATGCGACCCTGGCCCTGCAGGATCCTGCCAGATCGGGCGCTCTGGCTGACCCCCGTTTGCATTGCCTTTAAGAAGTCGGGCATGTCCCCCTACAGGCCGATTGTGGACGAAACATCAGAAACAGTCCAAAAAAAAACCTGAGATATGCAAAAACGGTCAACAAAATCGTCCCAGGACCGTGTTTTGACCACTTCTGAAGATCCCCGACGCCGTGATTTTTCACGACGTCGACCCCCAGAGGTCTGGACCCCTTCCCCGGGACTGGTTTTGCATCCTGAGCCGTTTTTTGACGGCCCCGAGGCCCGGGAAGGGCCTCCAAAGGCAGAAAATAGTGCAAACACCTCCCGTCGTGATTTTTTCACGACGCGAGTGGAGGGACCGTCGCAAGGCCCGACCTCAGCACCGACCCCCCGTCGCGAGGCCCCCGCCCCCTGCGGCGCCCTCGCCGCCCGCAGCGCGGAGGCCGGCGGGCTCGCCGACGGGCACCGCGGCGGGCGCACAGCCGGGGCGCTGCCGCTCCCGCGCCGGCCGGGCCCGGGCGCTCCTCACCAGCCAGGAACACATCCCTATCCCAAAGCTGGGCATCGCCTCCTCGCGGCGCCAATCTTAGGGATTCCCTCACTTTTTGGGGCGCGGCCCTAAGATTGTCGTCGCTTTTATGGCGCGTCACTCTCGGGGATAGGAGGAGGAGGAGGAGGAGGAGGAGGAGGAGGAGGAGGAGGAGGAGGAGGGAGGAGGGAGGAGGAGGAGGAGGAGGAGGAGGAGGAGGAGGAGGAGCAGGAGGAGGAGAGCAGGAGGAGGAGGCGGAGGAGGAGGAGGAGGAGGAGGAGGAAGATCGAGGCTTGCGCGGGCCGCCCGCGCGGCACAGCCCACGAGAAGCCCGAGGGCGCCGTGCCGCCCGGCCTGCAGCCTGCAGAGGCAGGACACGAGCCACTGGATGTCTGCGCTTTCCTCCTCTCGCCCGTCCTCTCGCCACCACCCACTCGGTCCGGTCCTCCCATGTTCGCCCCCCTCTTCCCCCCTCTGCCTCCTCTCCTCTCCACTCCTCCCTCCCCCTTTTCTTCGCGCCCCCTCTGCCTCCTGTCCCCCCTCCCCCCTCTTCCCCTTCTCTCCCTGCCCCCTCTGCCGCCCCTTCGCTCCCCCTTACTCCTCCGCCCCTCCCATTCTCTCCTCACTCCCTCCGACTCCTCTCGCTGCCTCTTCCCCTGCATTGCTCCCACCACGCCACCGGTGGGGCCCGGGACGAACCAGATAGGACCTGCCGAGACCAGGGGAAGCGAGGCGGAAAGGCGCCGGGAATGGAGGGGCGAGGAGGGCGAAGAGGCGGAGGGGGGAGGAACATGGGGATGGGGAGGAACGAGTCGGGGAGGAAGACGACGATGACGGCGACCAGGAGCACACGTGAAAAACACAAGCGGTTCTCGAGCATGCTCGGGGCGCCGCCTCGTCGGCCACCGACATGTGCGTGAAGTCCGTGGGGGCCGCGGAAAGCGGGGAATGCCTGCGCCCACAACCGCTGGGGTCTTAGACCGAGGCATGGTCCGCTACCGCGCCCGGGGCACCGGGTCGCGTGCCCGCGGGTCCTCAGCGTTGCAACATGCTCTCGAAAGGCTCCCGCCTCCCAACTCCACGCTTCCGAGCGTTTCTGGCACGCGTCCCGTGTTCTCCTCGGAGCCCAGGGGCCCCAGGCTTGCCGGCCCCTTGAGACGTCCCTCGGCGTGTGAGATCGCTGCCCATCCTCAAAGCCACACAGGGCAGACTTGGAGAGGGGGGGGCCCGCGGGACCCCTCCGGAGGAGCCATCTGCTCCAGGAGCTGCTTCAGAAGCGTCCCTCTCTCGGATCCGACTCGAATCGACTTCGTGCGCTTTCGCTTCCCAGATAGATCCCTACAGTCCAGGAGGCACCAACAGGTCGGCGGTGAGGCGTCAGTCCCAGAATCCTTATCTGCAAGTGGCGTGTTGCCGGAGGCAGGTCTGCGGAGGCGACAATGCAACGTATTCGATGTACCCGATGATTGGGCAATTACAATGTATCCCATTAAAACATATTGCTACACAATGTAATGTGTTACAACATTATGTCACCCCCCTAAGTCAACCCCTGGAGTCGCGCCACATGCGCGTACCAATCTGACGAACCTATTTTTGGGTTCAAAAAATACGAAAACGTCAGGGAATTTGCAAAGTCGGTCTCCTGGGCCTATTGGGGGTCCAAGATCCAAGACTCAAGACGGCTTCAAGACGGCCCAAGATGGTCCCAAAACGGCCCAAGATGGCCCCAAGAGGAGCAACAAGTTCCTCAAGGCGGCCCTTCCAAGGCCCTGCTCCAGACGTGCATCCCGCGAAGCGAGAGGCGTCATTCAAAACCCAGTGGCTTCTTGCATGAGCTTTGAATTATCGTCCTTTCGGTCTGAATTAAGAGCGACCAAGATGGGGCCCAAAAGGCCCTGGAGACCGCCACCGACGGCCTCCGAAGCTTCCAAAAGGGGGGCCCTGGGGTCTCCAAGACGGCCTCCAGAAAGATCCCCAGAGCGCGCCAGCACCAAACTGCTGAAACCTCCCTTCCAAGATGGGCCCAAGATGCCCCCGATGACCCCCACAGTCCCACAATCGGGCGAACGCTAACATGGAGTACGGATCCGTGGATCTGGCGCGCGGGAGCCAAATCCACGCACTGGAGAGAGAGAGAGAGAAAGAGAGAACACGCCCAAAAAACATGAAGCCAACGCCGCCCGGCGACAGAGCGCGCAGATTCCGTACGGAACCGGAGCCCGCCGCCGATCCGCGCAGCCCATGCCGGCGCTTCCTCGCTGCAAGGCCCCCAGGAGATCTACAGTCGGGGCCTTGACCTAAGGAACCCAAAATAAGGAACGAGGCCCCTTTTTTCCATACGTTAAACTTCGATTTCCGATCGAAAACATAAGGTAAACCTGAGGCAAGCTGCGAAACACTTAAGGAACGCGGAGCCCCTCCCCAACGAAAAGGGTTCCTTCTTCAGGGCCCCGACTGCATGGGGGGCCTCCGAGGGACCCCCCAACAGAAAGGCCCGAAGCGAGCGTCGGGAGGCCCACGTCCTGGGAAGGCTCGCTGCTCCCAGGCCACGCTGCCACTGCGCCCCGCGCCCGCAGCCCGGGCGCGGCGGCGGGATGGGCCGACGGGCCCCCTCCCATCCCTCGCCCTCTTCCCCATTCTCCACCTCGCCATTCCCTTCCCCCTCCTCCTCCTCCTCCTCCTCCTCCTCCTCCTCCTCCTCCTCCTCCTCCTGAGACGCGAGCGGCCCACGAAAGGCAGCACAGGGAGGAGGGGCTGACATGTTCTTCTCTGTCACCGCCGCGCTGGCGCGGACCACGGGGACGGAGAGGCTCTGGGCCGCGGCAGGCCGCAGCTGGGGCCGAGCCGTGCACGCGCAGAGTGCGTGCACCACCGCCGTGCCTGGCTGGTGCCATCCTGGGACCTGGCGTGCCGCAGACGCCTCCTGGCCAGCGCCCAAAGGGCCTCTGCACCGTTGTGGGGCCCAGGCTGGCCTTGGCCACGCACGGCGGTGGCGTGCAGACGCGTTCTGCAGGAGCGTGATCGGGAGAGCGGTAGGAGGAGCGATCGGAGCAAGCGCGGGAAAGGAGGAGCAATCCCAGTCAGCAGTCGCACCGCGGCGCTGGCGTGCAGCCATCGCGCTTGGAACCACTCTTGCTCATGCTGCGTGTCCGCACGCTGCCGCACTGCACCCAGCGTCGCGCAAGGCCGTCTTGAACACGTGATTGCGCCGCGAAGGCGCGGCTTGCTGCGGAGCGGCGATGCCCCCTGCACGGACCCCCGCGCCGCGACGGCCACGGCCCCGCGCCCCGCAGGCCCTGGATGATCCGGCAGGCAGCAAGAACCCTCCAGGGGAAACCCAACACGAGACAACACAACGCACGATCACTCACACGCACACACACATCGTCCTGCATGGACCGTAATGCAGGCCTCAAGCCGTGCGGGCCGAGACGGACACCCCAAGAAATCCTTCGCCCGAGCGCGGCCGGCGGAGACGGCACGGAGGCCTGGTCTCCCCTGGCAGCGTCTTCGACACCCATCAGAGACATCTCGGTGCCGCCGGTCGCTGCGGGCAGCCAACACGCGCGCGGGAGCGCGCAGGAGGAGGGGGGGGGCGAGAGGGGAGGAGGGAGCAGGAGGAGAGGGAGAGGGGCGGGGAGGGGAGGGGAGCAGGAGGAGGTTCACTGCCCATACCGGGAGGGGTGGAGAAGGTCCAGGAGGAGAGAGGAGGGAGGAAGGGGGAGACCCGGGGGGCGCCGACGAGAACGACGAGCGAGACGGGAAGGAGACCTGCCTGTTCCCCCGCATAGCCCCTGGGCGCTTGCGGAGGGCGAGCGGGGAGCCGAGAGGAGGGGACGGCCCCCGAGCGGGCGGAGGGCGGACACACAGGGCGCCGCCGCCGCGGCCCCCGCCGGCGTGCCGACGGGCCGCCAGCTAGAATGGGGGGCGCGCAAACCTGGATCAGCGATCCGTGGATTCGGCGCGCGGTCGCCAAGTCCATGCATCGGGGGAGGTGCCCTCCCCAGAGTGCGGCCAGCGCCGCGCCGCCCGGCGGCGGGAATCCGCGATTCCCCATGGAAGCGGGACCCGTCGCTCATCCACGCCCCCTTGGATCCATGTCTGCGAAGGAAGGAGGAGGAGGAGGAGGAGGAGGAGGAGGAGGAGGAGGAGGAGGAGGAGGAGGAGGAGGAGGAGGAAGAGGAGGAGGAGGAGGAGGAGGAGGAGGAGGGAGGAGGAAAAGGCCGCACCTCTGGCGTGCACGGCTTCCGTCTGTCGGTCCGTCGGCCTCCTGACGGGGCCGCCTCCGGGCCCGGGCGCCGGCCAACAGAGAACACGAGGCAGGGCGCCCAGCGCTCTCCTGGGACGGAGGCCTGTTTGCGATCCATGTTTGCGATCGCCCGAGAGGAGCGGCACTCGCGCGCGCGCCGCGCTCCCCGCCCCCCTTTGCGGTCGGAGCAGCTGGATGTTCACTGGCAGCATCAGGCCGGGCCCCGCTCGGCGTCCCGCCTCTGCAAGGCGCGCGGGCGCGAGGGCCCGCCCACGCCGGGAGGGGGGGGGGGCGTCAGCCCCCTCGCCTCCTTCTGTTCCTCCTCCTCCTCCTCCTCCTCCTCCTCCTCCTCCTCATCCTGCCCGCCGCCTCCTCCTCCTCCTCCTCCTCGCTCCTCCTCCCTCGTCCCCCCCTCCTCCCCCCCCCTCGCCTATACCTCCACGTCCTCGCCCTGACGCTTCTGGCGTGCATGATCTTGCCTCGCCCTCGCGTCCTCGTCCTCCTCCTCCCGAGGTGCCTCCGCTGCTCGTGCCGTTGCCCTCTTCCTCCGGCTCCAGCAACCGATACTCATTCTCCTGCTTCTGTTCCCTGCTTCGTCTGCGGCCTCCTCGCTCCTCTCCCCGCTCTTCGCTCCGGCAGCCGATACTCATTCTCCTGCTTCTGTTCCCTGCTTCGTCTGCGGCCTCCTCGCTCCTCTCCCCGCTCTTCGCTCCGGGCGCGTCTGCCCTCGTCCCCCCGCCTCCTCGTTCCTCGCTCGTCCCTCCTGCTCCTGCTACTGCTCCTTCCTCCCCCCAATTCCCCAAACATCTGACCCAATTCCCCAAATCCTCCCCCAAACATCGGACCCAACCCTCCCCCAAACAATCCTCGTCTCCTCTTCCCCCAATTCCCCAAACATCGGACACCTCCAGGAACCGGTGACAACCCCCGAGCGCATCCAGCAACCTCTGAAGACCCCTATTGGGAAACCTCTGAAGTCCTACTTCCCATCCCAAAGCCTCCTTCCTTCTCCACGGGGATAGCGGTGCCCAACGTGCTGAGGGCGTCTGGGCCGCCTCTGGGTCTGGCGGCCAGCTCTCCAGCCTCGCTCGACTTCCTCCTCTTCATCTTCTCCCTTTGACCTACTACTCCTCGCGCCTCCTCCCCCTTCCTTTGCCCCTCTTCCTCTTCCTCCTCCTCCTCCTCCTCCAACTCCTCCTTCTTGTTGATGCTGAGCGGACTTTAAACCTCGGGGATGTAGCATCGACCTCCTCCTCCTGCTTTTCTCCTCCTCCTCCTCCTCCTCCTCCTCCTCCTCTTTCTCCTCCTCCTCCTCCTCCTTCTCCTCCTCCACGTCCCCCCGCATCAGTCATATCACGCCGCCTCCCAATTTCGGCCAGGAGGGATGACGATGATGATGCTGATATGGTGATAGTAATGGTGATGGTGATGGTGATGGTGATGATACTGATAATGTTAATGATGATGATGATGATGATGATGATGACGATGATGATGATGATGCTGCTGGTGATGATGGGGTGGAGGATGAGAAGAGAGATGGTACTGCTGCTGCTGCTGCTGAAGATTATGATGATTGAGATGATGATGATGATGATGATGATGATGATGATGATGATGATGATGATGATGATGATGATGATGGTGATGACGATAATGATGACGAGGAGGAGCATGGTGTTATGAATGCTCATGCAGATTTAGATGCAGACGACGATGAATATTGATTTGAAGATGAAGATGCTGATGATGATGATGATGATGATGATGAAGATGATGATGATGATGATGATGATGATGATGTGATCCTGATGCTGATGATGATGATGCTTTTTATGATTATGATGATGATGATGACAACGACGATGATGATGCGTATGGTGATGTTGATGACGATGAGGATGCGGGTGATGGTGATGATGATGATGATGATGATGATGATGATGATGCTGATGATGATGATGATGAGTGCTGCTGATGCCTGTGATGATACTGATGATGATGCTGGTGATGATGATGATCGTGGAGGTGGTGAGGATGATGATGAAGACGATAACGATGATGTTGTTGCTGCTGCTGATGATGAGGATGCTGAGGATGATGATGCGGATGGTGATGAGGGTGATTGTGATGATGGTGATGGTGATGATGGGGATGATGATGATGATGATGATGATGATGATGATGATGATGACGTTCAAGAGAAAGATGATGATGCTGATGATGATGGTGATGATGAATGTTGATGCTGATGATGATGCTGGTGGCGGTGGCGGCGATGATGAGGATGACGTCGGCGATGACGAAGATGATGCTGCGGATGATAATGATGAGGAAGATGAGGACGATGAGGATGATGATGAGGATGGTGGTGATGATGATGGTGAAGGTGACGGTGATCAGGATGATGTTCAATATAATGAGAATGATGATGCTGCTGCTGCTGCTGATGATGATGATGATACTGATGCGGAGGATCATGATCGTGATGGTGTAGGGAACGAGGATCATGTTGATGCTGGTAATGGTGGTAGTGGTGGTGGTGGTGATGATGATGAGGATGATGATCAGGATGATGATTTGAGGGAGGCGTGCAGAGCAACAACGAAATTTCGAAAGACCCGCCACGCCACTGTAGAGGAAATGGCTGGGGCGGACAAATCCTGCCCCCCCTTTACAGACAGGAACCTACTCAAGGAACCGTCCGTGACAATCATTGTCTGGGCGAGCGGCCAAAGAAAAGAAAATTCGCCGGCCCAACGGGCCAAAGGCGTGCTAAGATCTCTGGTAACTGGTTAACAATATTTCTAGTTCGCGCGCGCGGGGCGGCCCCTGGGGGTCCCCGGGTGAAAAATACCCCGGGCAAGTCCCGGGAGGAGAGCCCGGACAGGGCAATTTTCGACACCCCTCACGAGGATCGTGGCCTCCGAGGGGGGAGCCGCAATCGACTACCCCCCCTCCCGCCCCAAGAGGCCCACAAGAGCCCCCTCAGAGGCCCTGGGGGCCCCCAAGACGCCGCCAAGGAGCCCCAAGAGACCCCCAAAAGGTCCCCAAGAGGTCCCCAAGAGGCCCTAAAGAGGGCTCCAGGGCCCGCGGAATGAGCGAAGCGATTAAATAACCAAAGCATGGCGGAGGAGAAACCCAAAGCACCAGGAGCAACGCACAGGCCAACCTGCAACGGGCGAGCCACAGCGAGAGCCACCAGGCTGCAAGGGAAACTGCTGGACGTCGAGCCGCTGGGCGGGGCTGGGCGGAAAATTAACGAAATTCCCCCCCACCCACCCCCTGCGCCGGCCGCAGGCCCGAAGAATCGTTACGCGAAGCTGGATTGCGACCTAAGCGGTCGCGGCCAGCCGCAGACCGGATGAGTCAGAAGAGGAGGAGAAGGAGGAGGAGGAAGAGGAGGAGGGGGAGGAGGAGGGAGGAGGAGGAGGAGGAGGAGGACGCGGAGGAGGAAGAAACCCGAGAGGAGGAAAAAGGAGACGCAACCATGTTGTGTTAAAGCCCCGATTGCCCAAGCGGCCAAACTATATCCAGCACGACGTGGGACAAGGCCAGCGACCTGGCCAAATACCGCGCCCCACGCGGAAACATGAAGACTAAATCAAGCGAGGCAAGCACGACGCCGCAGTGCCAAGAGCTCCGGGCCAACAGCACCAGCAAGAGAAAGGAAGAGAGGAGGAGGACGAGTCAGCACCTCAGATAAACGAACGCCCGACCGCCCTAGCAGCGCGAGGGTGGCAGCGGAAAATATCGCGGGCCACCTGCGTGAGCGCGTCTAGCAACACGCTGGCGGCCTCAGTGGAGTGGCGGGGCGTGCAATGCAATGTGCAGACAACTGGTGTCCTCAAAGCTCGCCTGATCAGGACGTGGTTCTCTGCTGCGCCAATCCTGGAGGGCATGAGGAACTCTGCCAAGGGATCCCCGTGCTGCGCGGGAGAACACGTACACGGCCCAGCAGCACGCAGAGTGCTCGATGGAGCCGAGCCCGCCGCATCCGAACATGCAAGAGGCCGTGCGCTGGAAGCGGCGCGCCGTGCACCAACCTTTGAGCAGCGCGCGGAGGAGGGCCGCCAGCACACGGGCGGGCACCTTCCTAACCAACTTCTTGAACATGGTCAGGGCGCGCTGTGCCCGGCGGCCAGGCAAAACACGGATGTCCCATCGTTCCAATCTCCGCCGGAAGAAGCGGAGGGCGTGCTCGTCGGCAGCGGGCCGAAGGAACTCTCGGTGTTCCCTTGCCAACGCCTGCGGTGCCTGTGCTGCAATTCAACCTCCGCGTGCGTCGTGGAATGCACGCGCTGGTGGATCCGGCCCTGGACCTCCGCAGCGAAAGCACTCTGAACGAAGAAAGCGCTGGCCGCCCAGACGCGGCAGCAGATGGCCTCGCCGCGCCGCGCAGCCCAGACGGCGAGACGGTCCAGCCGCTCGGTCTGCGGCATACGTCTCTGTCCTCTATTCGCAGCCCCCCCTCCCGGGCCTCGCAGCGGTAAACGCGAACGCGCGCCGCTGGAGAAAGCTTCTCGCGGTCGCCCAAGCCGGCGGCCATCCCGAAACGCGACGGGCCCCTCAATGACGCCAGGGAGCCCCCCCGCAGGCTGGGGAAGAGGAGCGCCATGACCTGGCGGTCCGCAGTCTCTCAACCTGGGGGGAGGGGCAGGAGATGGGCCAAGCAACCAGTGGAGGTCATGAAGATCCGCGTCGCCAGGAGCAACGCCTGCGTTCCCCCGCCCGCCCAGCCCCGCGCCCGAGCCCTGTCGAGCATGTTCTGGAGCGGTTTGGGCCTGGACTTGCGGCCGCTCATCGAGTCCGAGGGGCTCGGCGTCAGTCGCGACCCGCGCGGCGGCCCGCGCGGTCGCGGCCCGACGCAGGTCCACCGGCCCCCCTGGGAGACAACAGTGGGATGGCGGCGGACTCCCCCAAATCGAAACGCAATCCAGAAAGGCGAGAGCACTCTTCAAACGGCGTCTCCAACCGCGGGGCGCCAGCCAGCGCGTCGCCCGTCGCTGGCGCGAGGTCGCCCGTGCAAGTCCGGGCCACGGCGTCAGAGAAGGCGGGCGAGTCTCCGCGGCAGGAGGTCCGCCGCGGTCGCGAAGATTAGCGGCGAGAGGCGGCCCCCCTGGCGGGCGCCAACCGCGGCCGCGATGCAGCGGAACCGCTGGCCAGCAACCGCTGCGCGCGCGACGTTGCCCTCGTAGATGTCGGCCACGAACCTGGCCGGGGGGCCCGGGGGCCGAGG